ACTAAGGCCTGAAAGGTCAAAACTGCAGTAGTGGCACAGGAAAGCCAAAAAACCATGCGGGGGCGCTGCTTTAATATTATACTTAATAAACTATTTGAACTCTCCGGAACGCCTGAGGTATCACGCTTCATTTTAAGGCGTTTTCGAATCTTCTGTATTTACATGACGAGATTTTCCAAATTTTTTTGCATTATATTGTAGATTTGAGATCCTTTTATTATTTAGTTAAGTTATTTCTGCGTCTAAATTTTTAATTATTCTGGTTAAAATTTTCTTTTAAAATTTTCTCTCCCGGTAAATTTTGAAAATTTCACACTTTTTAAACACGTAGGCATTATTCGGAGTTGGATTTTACAGTACTTGAACTTCAAAATAACCCATTCTCAGGATTCATCGGGGATCCCTTCATCACAAATAATTTTGGGGACCTTCCATGTCTCTTAGAGACTTTTCAAGGAATTCGGGGCCTTTTAGTGATTAAAAAGGATAAGAAATTTACAACATTACGGGAAAAAAACGATGACTCGAAACAAATTCGCCACGGGGGCCCCTTCGGGACCTCCGCGGCAAATTGTTAGGGGGCGCCTCCCCGCCCCCATGGCCAGTCCGCCCCTGTTCCTAAGCTCTCTGGTCTTTTCTTATATAATTATAATAAAATAAAAACTGGGTCCTATTTTCAAGTTCTGATTACAGCGAGCTCATCTAGAGACAATGGCCTGTCGATAACCGCAAAAATAATGGAAATGGGTCCAGCAGAACGCTCAAAACGAATTGTGACAAAAAATAAAAATTCAATTTTTTTCAATGGGAGAATTTGCAACTTTGCTACGTGATATAAGAAATCCTGGGTCATATTTTCAAAATCTGAATATAGCGAGCTCATTTAAAGACAATTGCCTGTCGATAGCTGCAAAAATCATGAAAATGGGATCGGTAGAAGGCTGGAACTAAGCGTTACCAGATACGCAAATTTAGGAGGTCTTGGAGCTTATAGTATAGAAATGCAAATTTAGGAGGTCTCGGATCTTATAGTGTAGCCAAAAAGACAAAATTTAAAGTAAATTTGCCACCTAACAAATCGACGGCAAAATTGCATAAATGCGTGTCTCAAGTGTGGTGTTTCAAAATCTTCACTTATATTGAATTTTTTAATAATAGAGTACTGAACCAGCATCACGACTTGAAATTTTCGCAGAATATTCTTTACATCAGAAAAAAAATCACCGAAATTTTCATGAAATGACGCTTAAGTAGTACATATAGTTTTCTCCGCAGAAAACAAACAATACGAAATCCAAATTTTGAATTTTTTTAAAATACGCAAATCGGGTTAAGTATCGTCAACTGTCGATTGCATCTCTGTCATCCAGCAAAACAGACGATACCCACGATCTACTCTCAGCCTATACTCTTTTTATGTCAAGGTACGTAAACTAAGTCTATTTTCCCGAAGAATTGGCTCTTTTTTGTCGTTTTTACCCGATTTCAGCGGGAAAAAACGGAAATTTTTCTTCGTCTTAACCGGCTTTGGTTACGGGTCAAACTTTTGAAATTTCGTCTTATCCGTATCTTTTTTACCTTGACTCTTATGGAAGTGTCAAGGGACCGAAAAAAATTTCGCCTTAAGCTGATTTTCGTCTTAACCGTAATTCGTCTCGACGAGCTTTTACTGTATGGTTTTCTCCGCAGAAAAAAAAACAAGAGGAGCGAGAAAGTAAAAATGTGACAGGAAGTTGCAACGCCGCAAACCGAGATACGCGTTGCCAAATTTCCTCCGATAAAGCGCTAATTTCCTAGTAAATTTATGAATATTTCCCTCCCAATTTTTCAGATAATTTATAGTTCGCAATTTTACCTGAAAATCCTGAAAATTAAAGGAAAAATATTAATAACTTCCCTCGAAAATAAACATCTTATCGAAGGAAATTTGGCAACTCTTGAATGTTCATACGGCGTTTTTCCTAAGCACGGCAGAGTTTTACCATCGAAATTGAAATAGTGTGCTTTTAAAGTACAGCGAACGAAAAATTACAGCCTTCCGGACTCGTTTCTTCATGTAAGAACCTAACGAATTTATCAGCATATTCTTTTTTAAATCGGTGAGTGTGCGGTAGGTACCGTACGCGGAAGGTGCGTCAAGAAATAAAATTACTTTCCAGTGGCGTGGCGTACTTTGCGATCTATCGATATTTCCCCATATGAAGTTGTGGTAAATAATCGATTATTAAGGTGTTCGCTACGAACACCCTGTTTATCGATACTTTTCCAAAGGTTTAAACGGCCGATCAATCGATATATCGCAAAGCACGCCACGCACTGTTACTTTCGACCCGAAATCTGTGTCCGATCGGGAAATAATTTGCTTAATCTCTGGGAAGCGAGCTTTCGGAGTGGATCTGATCACCTGGGTTCTCCTTGTCTTCGTATTCCTTCTCTCGCCGTTAGTTGAATTTCAATGTAAATTCAAAATTCGGCATTTAAATTTGGCAATAAGCATAATCGTCCAGAGATCATTCAACCTCAATTTGAATAAATGACTGCAGGATTTCGAATTCCTCCGATCATTTTAATCCATTGTCGCTGGACAAATCACTATATTTCTTTAACGAGCCTCACTGAAAAAAATCTCGGTGTATTAACTAAGAGAAGGGTAAAATCACCAAGACTTCAGGGTTCAATTTGATCCCAGTTTTTTCTTGGTAAAATTATTGAACTTATTTCTCGGTAATTTTACTGGACCTCGGTAAAAACTCCAATATTTTTTATCGACTGTGATAGAATTACCGAGATAAAATGGCAAAGTTACCGGGAATTGATTACCAATAAAAGTGGTATTCTTACCTGAAAAAACAGTAAAAATACCGGTTTTTAGGTAAGCTTACCAGCCTAGCCTGTCTTGGTAAAATTACCAATAATTGGTAAAAAAAAAGTGAGATGGTAAAGGTATCAACGGACCGTGGTAAAAACGCCGGGAATTTTTTTTCAGTGCTTCAAAGCAAGTTATAGTCTCTGATTGGAGGGTGCAGAGGGATGTGATGACGGGAAGGGAAGGGAAGAGAAGGTAGGGGAGGGGAGGAGACGGGAAGGGATGAGGGAGAGGGATAACGGTTTTCTATCCAACCCTTGGCATCGTTGTAAAAAGGCGGGAAAATAACCACTCGCAGGGACGGCTGCGTTGCATCAGGCCCAAGATCATACGCAATGATGCCAACTTGCAACCCAAATCTGCGGAATATTATTTTTTTAAGGGAGAGGTGGGGGATAATCAATGAAAAGGAGAAGTCTCTCTCGTGAAGCATCAGAAATTTTGTCGACGAGTCTTTACCTTGGGCGCGCACCTCTGTTCTCTAAATTTCTTTATCCAATACTTATTCCATGAGATTTGGAATATGCGTTCATGCGAGGTAAATGGCATCCTTCCGAAATGAAGGCGAATTATGATGAGGACACAATGCCGCTCTAAGGCGTTGTATTTTTTTGCACACCAGACACCAGTCAATAAGGTTTCCAAATTTTCCCCTTGTAAGAGATTTCGGTGCTAATATTTATAATTCTCTAAGGAAAATCCTCATTGAAATTCGATTGCGTTTTTAAATGCTTTTTTCCTTTTCTTTTTTCTTCTTCTAATATTGCAAAGTTCTTATTCTACTTGCACTGTGGGAGGAAATGAGAATCCTAAAAAGGTCTTTTGTGCGATAATTCTCAACTCCATTGTATTTTTAAGAGGACTTCTGATGCAGGATAGTAAATGGTGACTTTATCATCACTTCCTCAAGTCGCCGTTACACAAATTTTGAAAAATAAAAAAAATGGAAAACGATTTTTTTCACCGAGCAGTATAAACCGAGGTAGGTACTTGTACACATTAGTATTCTGCCTCCCCTTTGAAATTTAAGGAGCCCTTTTAGCCGAAAATCCCAATTTTTATGAACCGTTTACGATTTTTCAATAGCCATCTTCAATTTTTATAAGTTTTTGCATGATGCAGCATGTAAGTATTGCGAGTTTGAAAAATTCAGCGGGACCCGTCAAATTTTTTAGGCTCCTCGGTAGCCCCGCTTCCCAAATTTTTAGGCGCATTCCGTGCACTGCGCCCAGAATAGGCAGAGCACTGGCACTTTTACTGCTTTGCACTTCTCTGCTTCCTACATAATAATTTTATTAAAATTAAAGCATGATACTTTTCGTCCGGCGTGTTATAGTTACCTATCACAGTCGATAGGTACCTAAAACCCCTCAGGTTTTTTTTTCTTTTTAGAGAGAGGGGGGGCAAGCAAAGGGGGGGAGGGGGTGTTGGAAAAATTATTCTGCCCTTAAGTACCGCATAAAAAAGGGACAACCGGCTAAGGTCTCCGGAGCATTTCGACGGTGCAAGTCGGCAATCACATAAGTCGGTTTGCGACGTCGCAGACTTCCTGTCATACCCACTTTTTTTTTTTAACTCAAAAACTGCCGTGATTTTTCCTCTCTGTGCGGAGAAAATTCTGCAAAAACTTCAAGGAATGATGCCACTTTGTTCTCCTTTGAAAAAATAACATCGAGGCGGAGATTTTCAGACACCGCAAACGAGATATGTGATTGCCGACTTACACCGTCGATTTAGAGAACATTAATTTTATCCCTTATTTTTATTTTAATTGCTGGAAATTTCTGGAACCCCAGCTTCTCAGGAAGGCACCCCTAACGCGCATCCTCGGAGAATACCTAGTTGCCTCTATGCCTGTACCAATATGTCATTATACAGAGTTAAAAATATCAAACAGGAAAGAAAAGCGCACTGCTAGAAAGGAAATCCCACGGATACCATCTCATGGAAAGACTATCCTCTTTCCGAGTGGAAACTGAGACTCATCGTAATTTATTAGCTAAAGTACCACACCCAAATGCGCCTCCTTCTCTCAGAGGGAGCTGATTGAAGGACGATGACTAGTTACGTAGTTTGTTTCGCATTTGCTCTCGAGTTGGCAACGCTGCATGAAAATGTAAATTCGAATTGAGTAGGTTATGTTTTATGTTTATGAATGACTTCGTCGCAGAAGTAAATTCAGACCGAAGATTAACTCAGGAAAATTGAAGTGAGCGTGCTGATCGTCTAGTTACACAAGTGAAAGTATTAATGACGTGTTAAAACCGTCGAGTGTCTCAATGTTTGTTTAATTTTTCGGATTTTATGACGAAAGTCTGTCTACGTACGTGTTTACATCAGAGGTCGAGTTCGCGATTGGTGTGATATCATTTCTTTTACATCCACTTCTCGTCTCTCCAAGATTATCCAAATATTTACTGTCTTAACCTTCACAAGCCTAACTTGAATTTTTTTGTGCTCGCTCGTTTGAAATCTGTGTACAATGGCCAAGCCTTGAGTTTTTGCAACTACATGTTGCTGTTGTCATTTAAAGAAAGTGACAGTGAATTGATATGCAATCAGAATTTCCTTATTTTTACCTAGGGAACTGATCAGCTCCTCAGAAATGCATGTATTTTGTGCTCTTTCCAGCCACTTCTGCAGTTAGTATGTTCTAATCCTTTCCGAGTGTTGTTGATGACAGACCTCAATGGCTACCACAACAATTGAATATAGCAACGTTGACGAGTGCGTCAAAGATTGGGAGGATCTCAACACAGAATACAAATCTTTTGAGGTATGTTGGCATGTATAGTTCTCACAATGCCTGAATAAAAATTCTTGAATAAGTCTTTGAACTGTTACACTCTGTTTTGAGTACCAGTTGAGACTACCCTGGACCTCTTGCTTACATTTTCTCGGCTGTATAAGTCTGCAGTTTCTAGACAATACAAGGAAAAACTTCTTTTCCATTCTACTTCAAAGAACTCGGCGTAAAATATCCCTAAATAGATTTTAGTAGAGTTTAGCCTGCAAGCTGCTGATGGCGATCATCAAATGGAACTTGCGTCATCAGCACCCGAGAACCACATTATCGACTGAATCTATACTGAATTTATTTCCAATTTTCCTGATATAAGAGTCTTTCAACATTGTTTGGACTAGTGTAAATAATGTTGCAGATTGTTTCGTCACGACTGAGAATTAGGTGATTAGAGCATGCACATTGTGTGTTGAGACAAATGTCAAAGTATTGTTTATGTCACCAGTCATCAATGGTACCATCTGACTGCATGTATTAACTCGCTGAGTGGTGCAAGTTCAGAGCTAATCAGAGATTGACATTTGTCTCAACATACGATGCGCGAGCTCTAGTGCTGTTCCTCTATTCAAGAACCCACTGATTGAGGTACATAGGTAGGGAAAGTACGTATGGACAACTTTATAATCATGAAAATTCATCGGGTCATTGACGAATCCATGCATGAAGTCCTGGCCCAGGAAAGCAGCCAATCTATGATTGTAAATTACTCATTGCCGCGGCTTATCTTGGAATTTATCGTTTTAATTAAAATCAAAATGAAGTCGCAGAATCTACTTTTGATAGAATTTACACCGCCACCCAGGTAGTTTTAGTGATATCAAAGAAGGATGTCCTCCATCCTCAACTTAAAATGTAAACATGCTGGTCATCTTCGAAGTTTTTGATAGTCCTGAATGAGGAGGTTGACAACCAGATTACAATTATTTCATACATGTTTCAGTTGTCCCTCGATCGAAAAGTTTATTGTCTGTTAATATGATAAATTAGTAATCTATCATCAAATCAACTGAAGAAAAACTTTTTCAGCCTTTAAAATATTCTCCATCGTTACGTTTATCCTCAAATCTAGGTGAAGTACATTCTAAGAGGCGTTTTCGGTTATCTCTGTAAGCAGGTACATTATATACTTCTCCACAAGATACTCTCTTATATTTAGATAAACTCAATCTTTTCATCCTGTAATTACATCTATAAAAGATTCCTAATACTACCATGAGTCTGTGCATTCTGATAAGTGCCAAATGATTTCACACGCTGCCCTCTCTATATTAATGACCTCGGAGGGGTTTTAGCACCTCTCAAGGTCATTTTTATTGACCCGGATTATGATCCTAAATTGATTTATTCTTCCATGAGTCATGTCTGTGTCTAGCCTGTGCATGATTACTGCTAGGAACATCTTCTTTAGTTGAATTTGCCTCTAATTCATTTCTTGGTTACGATGAGCTATTACCTCTCCATCAACCGGCATCATCACATACTTGCGCAGCATCCTCTGTCTTCAGCTGATTCCTGATTTTTCCTCTGAATTCACTCTTCTTGGAATTGGTTGTTCATTAAACATTTCCCCAATCATCAATGTAACTTTTTTGATGCAACAACAATATTAACTGAGAATTCGCTACTCAAGTCCTCCCCTCCTCCCATCTTTATCCATCCCCTCTATTGAGGTAAATAATTCAATGAAAATCTTGGTCAGTTTGTCAGAGCTCAGTCTTCTTGGGAATTGCAAATAACCACAGACTTTCTGTTTTTTTTTCTTTAATTTTTTTGACAAGAGTGGGAGGCCCAAGTAAGTACCACAGTGCAACGAAAGCATTGACATTAAATTGCAATTTGATTTCATTAAAATTGTAATTTTTTTACCATTGAATTGCAATATTTTTACATCATTTAGTCGATTTATGCCGATTTTAAACAATCAACAGAATGAGCTCCATGTGTCCGAAAGATAGGCAATATGCAATGCAATGAAAAATTTCAAATTATTTAAATTTTATTGCAATAAGTTTCAGTAAATGGGGTCCCTTCAAATAGGATTTAGGCAATATACGCGACACTTAGTGGAATCGCAATATTTTTACAATGTAATTGCTACTTACTATCTGTGCTACTTGGAGGGGGCGTGGAGGGTGACACCCAATTTTACAACATCATTCAAACATTTGTGTTTGCTTGATTTTCGATTTTCGTCCCGTCGTGCAAAACTTTCTTTTTCTGTCTCAACAGCGGGCCGATTATTGAAATTTAAAGCAGCCCGATAAGACATCGAATTGCGAAATATTGCATGGTTGAGATAGGGCTGTGTCTTGTCGTGTCGGGCTGACATAATTTCAATAATCGAACCGCAGGTACTGTTTGTTTAACAGATATCAGTTGTTTTGTTTTTAGACAGGAATTATAAACAAATTACAATTCTAGCAATCAGTGAAATTTTAAAATATATAAAAGAATTGAAAATTCAGTTTTTCAGCAGCCTAATATTAAAATAATTCACTTATCTTCGATTCCCAAAAATTCAGTGCATTCTTAAGTATATATTATTATACGTACAATCTGATTTTTGAAACAAAAGAAGTGCCTGATGGAATGTTTTGTAAAATAATAATTTGTCTGGCGAAGATTTTTAGCTGCACCGAATACTTCCCGATAAAGTAGAATATTTTTCAGATTCTCTGCAAAAACCCTTTGATTAAAGCACTTAGTGATATCTTTTCATTTACTCTTCTATGTTAAACTATATGAGCATTTATTTTATTTCTTCTGCCTTTTTTACAGACTCTCAACAAGGACTATGTAGCTAAATTAGAGGAAGTCGGAGAGTTGCAAGAAAAATGTGTGAAGCAATTACAGCATCATCAGTACCGCCTAAATACAATAGTGCGTTCATTAAAAAAGTGAGTATGAAACTTTAGGGGTTTTGCAGGATCCAATTCTTTTATTTAGTTAGTTTTTAGAGTCATAAAATTTGTTTATAATTTTCAAAATTTGTGGCTGGTTGTGGGTCATTAAATGAAAAACAGCATCTCATACTGATCAATGCCCAACTGTAGTGGCAATTTTGCCCTAGTAGAACTGCTCAATTTCGACTTAAAAAGGATGTAAACAGGTATTTAAAAACTTAGGGGAACAAGCTAGAATCAAAGTTTTGTTCAGTTCTAATAACTTTATTTTTTTTATTGAAGCAAATCTCTAAGTTAAATGTTATTTATTGATTGCGAAAGTTTAAGTTTGCAAATTTCAGAATCTTCGATTGTGTTCCATTTTTTTTAAAGAATACAAATCTAAGTTTCTCCTTTAACTTTCCTTTGAATACCTACTTTTCAACGAGTGAGAAGATTTCAAGAAAATCTATTGGAAATAAATTAAACATCTTTGCAGGTTTGTGATGTTGCAATACTCCTATTACTCCTCATACTCCTCATTTTATGAACTTAAGGTATCCATATCTAACAAGGTGGAGAAATGGTGCTGGGTCCACACCATTTCGCGGGGAAACAAAGCCAAGAAATACCAAAAATTAAAATTAGAGTAAAAAATAAATTTTTAGAACTCTAATGCGCACCAGTACGAAACTGTGAGCACTGTTTCGTACTGGTGCGCATTAGAGTTCTAAAAAATTTATTTTTGACTCTAATTTTAATTTTTGGTAGTTTCGTACTGGTGCCCATTAGAGTTCTAAAAATTTATTTTTGACTCTAATTTTAATTTTTGGGTTTCGTACTGGTATCCATATCTAACATACAAAACCAGAAATTTACTTAAAATGTAAGTTTTTACTGAAATAAAATGGTAGAAATTGTGGAAGTGGATTGTGACATTTTTACTAGAAAAATAAACCTAATAGGGTTTTAGTCACCAGTTCTTCCTGATTCGCCAGATGAGTTGTGTTTCACAATTTTAAAAAACTCAATACACTAATTGTCCCTTATGGACCATAAAATTCCCAAACCTTGTACTTTGTTTGTGGCGTTTTGAAGTCTCCACTCCAATTTTATTTTTTTTTTTTTTAAAGGAGAAAAAGTGGAGAAATTTTTACAGAATTTTCTTCGCTCAGAGAGAAAAAAAAAAATCACAGCAGTTTTTAGGGATTGCTGTTAAGTAGTTTTCTATTCTAAAAATAAAGTATTACAGAAAGTCTGCAATATTGCAAACCGATACATGTGGTTTGGGAGTCGATATTCCTCCTAACTCTCATTTCCTCTCAAGTTACACAAATTATGCACCCTAGGCATTGGGTATCAAGATTTACTAAAAAAGTTGTCCTGTGTTTGCAGATTAGAGAAGACTGCTGAAAATAAAGAAGCCATAGATAAATTATGGAAGAACATATCTAGGCAGAAGAAACAGTTAGCAGAAGCAGAGCATAGTTTACCAAAGAAGAATGGATTCTACTTGAAAATAATACTAGGAAATGTGAATGTTTCTATTCTTAATAAGAATGATAAGTAAGTGTTAAAAAAGAATCTTTACTCGTTTAAAAAGAAGACTGCAAACTTCTTGTAGAGAGAGAGAGAGAGAGAGAGTTCTTTTGGTAGACTTTGATGAAGCTTCTCTACGCTCCTCTCCTCATTATCCAAGAGAAAATTATTGTTTGGCACCTATAGATTTGAATTTCTGTATGGAAGACGTTTGCCTTTTATAGTTAGCAAAAATCAGGCCATGCACTGTTCTGACTCAGCGCGGTCACTGCAAGCAGTTCATGGTCTGCGCTTTTAGAGCATATGTGCTGAATAAAAGGAAGAAGTGACATTAACAGAAATCTTTTTTTTTTATTTTTGTAATTACACATATTGAATTACAACTTATATTACTAGACCTTACGAGTCTTTACAAATTTTCCTTCAAGCCGATTATAATAAAATAGAAATAAACACCGCTCTGACCGCTTTATGGATTAAATTAATGAGAATGATAATGAAGGATGAACAAATGAGATAGAAGTAAAATCCAGTAAAAAGCGGGAAAAAAACTAACTAATATTAACTATAATTATTCCTAGAACTAGATTCTAGAGAATTTTCCTACTAACTATGCTTTCGCCCTGTCAGTCGACTAAGACTGGTAGGGGCCAGAGGCACGAGCCTAACACCGACGGAAATGAGCCGTGCTCAACTCATGTGGTTTGCGTCTTTTTAACCTCCGGGTCTCGGAGCCCCAATCCAAAAGCGCTATTGCTTCGGGATTGGGGTGACCGCCCAGTCTTTCTTCATAGCTATTGTACATACGTGAGATGTACATGTCCATTTCTTCGATCCCAAGCTCATCTCTAATATCGATGTTCCGCTCGTACCACCTGGCCCCTGCCATTTGTCTGAGTATTTTATTTTGAATTGTCTCAATAATTTTGAAATTAGAACTGGCGGCACACGTCCAAATCTGGCAGCCGTATACCCAGATTGGCCTTAACATGAGACATGGTCCGAGACAATAACTTTCTGACTCTAAAAATTTCCATGGGGCCTACAAAAAAAGAAGCTCCTATAATATTTAAAACCAAACACGAATATTTTCTCCTGTTCTTTTTACGGTGGTATTGTACGTTTACTATTTGTCAAAAGATTTTATGTTACATTTTGTTTTCAAAACTATTTCTTTTGAAATGAGCACTGAGTTACAGGAGAAACGATGCTGATTGCTGAGTACTTTGGCACCATGTTTTAGAGATTGAGATTTTGACACATCTTGGGAAAAAAAATCTCTGATCTTCTCTATTCTAAGTATAAAATAAAACCAGTTCTCTTCGCCAAAGCCCAAAAAGAACAATAGTAAATAATTTAGGTAAATCTATTAGGAAAACAGAATTTTGCCTACACAGGCTAATTTTTCAAAAGTGGGTTTTTTCTTGAGATGGGTCAAACAATCGGACTTAAAGTTTATGACAGTAAACACTGTTTAGCATGCCAAAGAACAAGTTGCTAGTGGCCCATTTAATGTGTGTGCCAATAGAGGATGCAAAGTTGAATGCCTATTGGACAATTTTACACTCTGAGCTCTGACCATGAACAATAAAAACTTGGGGCAGTTTGTACCTCAATGTTTTCTACCAGGGGGACTCTATCCAGAACATTCTCAGATTGAAAAAATTGTTATTTAGGTTGTAACAAATTAACTGGTACTAAATGAATGCAGAAAAATATTATCCTTACCATCCCAACTTCAGCTGTCTGAGGTATGAATCCATTTGTAATAATCATGGAACTGTGATGGCATGAATTGAATTGAGTCCTGCTAAAACGGCTAATGTCTATTTTACCGGCTTTCAGTTTTTTTATGTTAATAATTCTTTTCAAGGGTTGTTACAATGATGAATGTGGTGCAAAGACTCATTTTGGGAGTTATGATAACCCTGAAACAAGTATTAAACCACTTTCCCATCGCATCAAAAAAACTCAAGACTGGAAAAATGAACTTCAGCAGTTTCCGCAGGACGCGGTTCAATTGTACAAGGTTCATAAGATTTCCGTGTTTCTTCTTTAAAACACCTCTCAATCTCCTCTCAAATACCATGTTATTACCGTTTCCCTATCAATGCATAAGTGCAACCTAAAGGATCACCTTGGCACCTCTTAAAATGTATTTTCTTGTCACTAACAGTAGACACTGGTACATAGACTACAAAAATATACTTGTAAAATGAGGAAGCTTTTTGGCACAAGCTGTCACGTGATTAATTTTTTATATTTTTTTCTTTTTTATTTTCTTAAAAAAAAAAATTAATTACGAAATCATACACCCATATAACTCTTATTGGAGATGCCAAAAATCAAATGCAAGGAACTTTTTTTTTTTTTGCCCAATGTGAGTCAAATGCCTTTTGACTTTAACGTTCTGAAGTAATTTTCGAAATATATCTGTTTCCCACTTATTTCAAGCCTTAGTAAACTGAAATAATTTTGGAGGCTCAACCCATTTTTTAAATCTGGTGTGGTGTTCCAACTGTCATTATCCATTTTTTTTTTTTTTTTTTTTTTTTTTGCAGGTTCCGGTATAAAGACGAGTATGAAAAATTCAAGCTCATTCTCAGTGTTATTGGATTCATTCTATCAGTTGTGAATATTTGCATAAATTTTAGGTAAGAGCTCTCTGCTATTTTCATGTTAGAATATTCAATCTCTATCTGTTGAGTGCCCCAAGTCACTGGCATTCTTTCTGTTAAATCTTAGGGGAGTATAAATGAATTGGAGGAGGCAAAATTTTCTGTAGAAAACCACAGCTTTATAATACCCTCGCCCAAAATTGGCTCAGAATTGGCCAAACTCAACCTAAATTAAATTGAGTACGAAGGTTCTCCTAGACAACACCCCTGTTTTCATGATGATTTGATATTCATCCTTCTTTTCCTCTGAGAAAGGCAACTATTTTGCTCTTGGAAAGCTGTCTTGTTAAACTAATATTCATCAGATTGTTCTTTTAAAGAAATGCTGGTGTAAAGAAAAAGGTGTAAAAGAAAATTTTATATTGAGGTCTGAAACCAGTTTTTTCACCCAAACCTCATAGTTACTGTCAATACCTCCTCATATTTTCCCCATACATTTTAGATTTTTCATTTTAACTCTTTAGTCTCACTCAATCCAGTCCATTTTTCAACTTTCAGTTTTATCCTTCAACAATCTTCAGTAATGTCCCATAAATTTAATGACTAGACTTGCAGCTGATACCTACATAGATTATAGCCAACCAATCTTGCGTAGCCTTGTTGTCTCACCACCCGTGATGTCAGCCAGACTATATAAGCGTGGGTTGCCTAAAAATCGAGGTCTTTTTCCAACTTGTAGACCCTAGACCTGTACTCCTTTACGGTCTTTTTCTCCCGAGGTCTTGTCCCTTATTCAGATCTCTGATACATCTTGCATTCTCCATACACCGTGCAACTTATAAACTTGTGTGACAATTAATTTCGATCTTTTGTAAAATCTGTGGTATCTGAGTTCATTTCAAATACAAACAGACATTCCGCGTCAAAATTGTGTTTCTCTTAATTTCATTCACGGTATTGTAGTTAGTTGGATCTACAGATCTAAAAATCCAACTGGTGCCGAACATTTTTATTAAGAACAATTAAGTACCGAAACTCACATCATATTCGTCGTATGGTGCCTCAACCATATTCGTTACAGTTACACATGGTTATTTGAGATCCAAACCCCTGATTTGATGACGTTGAAACGCAATGTTGCAAATCCCTGATGGTCTTTTCAAGATCCATCTCACAAGGTGACTCTAAAAAAATTTGATGTTACCAATGATAATCAAATTGCATTAATCAGACATCTGAATCTAGGTTTATGGTCAATGAGACAGAACTGGACAAAACCTCGGAAAGATCTAAATAATCCTTCTCAATTTGCTCTTCCTTTGTGCCCACCTAGATTGTGATTAAATCAGTTAACAGATGCTAGTTTTTCTTTTTGATGGGTGACTGTAACTCATAACTAATAGAGCTCTGGACCTCAAAGTAAAATTTGCTTATTGTTAACGACTAACTTGGTAGCGTCTGTCTCTTTTGGCTGAGGAGATGAGTTGATGGCACTAGTCTTTTCAAGCAATTAGGTAGCTCAAAATTTTTAGCTCAAACGGGAGAAGATAATTTCCCCAATGGGGGAGCCGGTTTTTTTCCTATCCTGAAGTAATTGGAAACTTGAAAGCAAGTGGATACATAAAAAATGTACCAGAACAACAGTTGAAGGGAATTTCATTTTCTTGTGTACAATACATATGTTGGCATCATCAATAACATCAAATAGTAGAAATTTTTTTCCTCATTATTTTGCCAGCAGCAGCAAAACGGCAGGGGCCAAAAAAAATCTTAAAGATGTTTGAGGGAAATTTTGACGCTTTTAAGTTTGACTGTCACAAATAATTGACATCAGCTGAAAATTGTGCAAAAAACAATTCTTGGCAATTTGTTGATCAGATGATTTTCTCTGTGAATGCTCAAAAAGTTCCTGCAATAGTTTAACGTGGAAATGGTATTATGATCTATAATAGCTGAATAGGGAAGTAAAATAGCTTACTAATCACCAAATTTTCTATGTAATCTTACATTTTTGCTGTGTCCTCTCCAATAATTGTACAGTTTGAAACTGTTTTTTTTTTTTTAAAATAGCATTTTTTTAAAAAAATTCACCGAGGAACAGAAAAATTAACCAAACAGCAAATACAGTGTAAAAAAAATGTATTGATAAACGGAACCATTTCATTAAATTTAACATTTCCTTAATACTTACAAAAATAAAAAATCATGATTTCACATCTCTGTAAAAAAAGTTTGTATGTACTCCACAATTCGAACAAATTTGTCCAAGATATTATACTATTGTGTTCTTCCATCTAATTGAACAAAAGTTTTACATTTATGGCTTGATTTGCTGCAAAGCTGAGAAATCAGCATTAGATAATTACATTGGAAAATTAACTTTATGCTTTTCATTTTTTGAAATTTTGTCTCAAGAAACATAGAATGAGTCAAAATTAATGTAAAGAAGCCAAATATTTATAAAAAAGAAATAAAATTTGATTTTTTGAAAGAACTTAAAGCTAACTTATAAAATACTAGTTGTAAAATACACTTCACTCTCCTGTGTTTAATAGTTAGCGTTAAAACTGGAACAAATAAACTTCGGTGCATTTTCTACAAAACTTTTCATAATTGAACAATGTGATTTTCTATGTCTGGGATCATTTGAAGAGAAAAATAGTACGTATGTTGGTAGATAATAATGCTCTATTAAATTCCAAGAATCAAAAAAGAAGAATTTTTGTACTCATTTTAACTAATTTCAAGTTTTAAATTTTGACTTTACATCCTCCATAGTTACATTCTTTTCTCACAGTTTGGACTTTTCTTTCTCGACCAGCCCCTTCTGCTTTTAACTTGCTAGTCTAGTAGTCAAACAAATCCAACCTCTCTAAACTTAAACTAGAAAAAGAAATCTCATCAAACTTTGATTTCAAAGGTTTACAAGCATAAATCAAAATTCTTAGATCAGTATTATTTAAGTACTCCAACACTTTTTCAATAGTATCAAAGGGTATGTCTGCATATTGATAGAACACTATTGAACACCACTTTAAACCTTGCTGCATCAAGTCTCTCCGTTGAACTGCTTTTTTAATTCTGGCATCGACCATATCCCCGTAAATGGGGTATTTCTTTTTGAGTATGGGAGTTTGAAGATATTTAACGGCCTCTATATTTTTTGTGAATGAAACTAATTCGTTTGAATTTTTTGTCAGAATTTGATAATATGTTATATTGGTATTACGGATGTAGTTGGTTCCCATTTTGACCACTTCGGCTTTGCACTGGTTCAGAAAATCATCGACAAGTCTCATTTTCTGGGCTGCTGAAGTTGCTAATATATCTTCTACCTCATGTAGATTTGCTGCCTTCAGTTTGATGGCATGCCAAATGATACTTTTAACTGCATAGCCAATATAACGACGTTCAAGTTCTAACTCACCAGACACAGACTGAATTGATGCACCAAAGTCCAAAAGCACTTTAATTTCATTCCCTTTTCTCTCGCAATTATCCATAGCTGTAGTGAGTGGCGTTTCCCCCGATCTATCTGCAGCATTGACGTCAGCTCCTGCTTCAAGCAAAGTTTGCATGTTGTCAAGCCTTTTAGCAAGAACAGCTTTGAACAGAGGAGTTTTCCCTCTTTCATCCCTCGCATCAACATTTGCTCCTGATTCCAACAATAATTTGATTATTTCACCATTCCGCCCAGTCATAACTGCGTAATGAAGTGCTGTTTTTCCAGCTTCATCTTGCATAGTGGCAAGTCTTTGATCAAGAACAGCTTTGAACAGAGGAGTTGTCCCTTTTACGTCCCTCGCATCAACATTTGCTCCTGATTCCAACAATAATTTGATTATTTCACCATTCTGACTCTTCATAACTGCATAATGAAGTGCTGTTTTTCCAGATTCATCTTGCATAGTGTTAAGTCTTTGATCAAGAACACCTTTGAACAGAGGAGTTGTCCCTTTTACATCCCTTGCATCAACATTTGTTCCTGCTTCCAACAATAATTTGATTATTTCACCATTCTGACTCTTCATAACTGCATAATGAAGTGCTGTTTTTCCAGCTTCATCTTGCAATTCTATGGCTGCATTGTGCTTCAGGAGAATGTCAAAAATTAGAACAGATTCCAGCTGAGCGCTAATCATTAGAGGAGTCATGCCTTCTGAATTTGGTGCATTGACATCTGCGCCATGCTGGAGCAAGAGGTTCACTATTTCACTTTGATTGTTCCTCACTGCATGATGAATGGTGGCACTGTCCTCCGTGCTGATATTCACAACTGTTTTAAGAAGCTCCTCAACAACGTTTAAATGGTTATTACTAACTGCAATCGACAGAGGTGTGTCCTCTGTGTTCTTGGTATCTGTCTTAGCACCATGCTTAAGAAGGAGTCTCACTACTTTAATATGCCCGTTAGAGGAAGCTTTAAAAAGAGGTGAATTTCCTTTTGTATCAATAATATCAATAGCAGCGCCAAATTTGAGTAGAATCTTCACAGTTTTTAGGTGGCCGTTTTTTGCAGCAATAGACAAGGGCGTTTCGCCGCATTCAGTCCTTACATTGATTGCTGCTCCGGTTTCCAGCAATTTTTTAACGATTCGAACGTACCCTCGTTCTGAAGCTCTGTAAAGAGGTGTTCTTCCTCTTGAATCAGCAATATCCACTGTTGCATTGAATTTTATCAGAACCTGAAGCACTGATAAATATCCTTTCTGCGCACAAATGGAAAGTGGTGTCTCATCAACAAACTTGCTATCAGGAATAGCGCCATGCTGCAATAATAACTGAGCAACTTCAAAGCTGCCGTTTTCACATGCTTCGAAAATAGGAGAGCTCTCATTGGCAGATAGTGAGTTGATGTTTGCCCCGAATTCAATTAAAGTTTTAACTATCTCCAATAAGCCTTTTCTTGCTGCAATTGAAAGGGGTGAGGGTGTTCTTGAGAGATAGTAGGTTTTATGGTTTTCGGAACCTGATGGAGAATTTACTGCAGCACCATTTTTCAGTAAGAAGTGAATAATATCCTTTCGGTTGTGCTCTGCGGCTTTATGCAAGGCAGTATATCCCTGAAAATTGCAAAAATTTATATCTGCCCCCGATCGCATTAGCATTTCAATGATACTTAAATTTCCGTTTGCTGCACTAATAAGAAGGGCTTGATTGTATTTTGTTTTAAATCCATGCAGTCTCAAAATGGTTTTCAAAATTGAGCCAACCATTCTTTCAGAATTAATTTCTACAGCACGATCTAGTAACAGTACCAGATCTTCCTCAGGAATGTTTTCATGTGAATTTAAAATATGTTCAAACATGTGTAGCTTATGTTTATTGATATACTTTAAAACTTCCGACCCAAATCCATAAGTGTGGGTGTATTTGAATCCTTTTTCAAGTAAAAGTTTTATCACATCATCAGGAGCATCGGATTTCATCGCATCAGCAAAGATAGTTTCATGTTTTCCACCTCTCTGAGCATCTGCACCAGATTTCAACAAAATTTCAACTGTGTTCCAATGACTTTTATATACTGACAAAGACAGAGGCGTACTCCCCACTGCTACTATATCCACATCAGCTCCATATTCTAGCAAAAGCTCTACTATTTTGCTGTGACCTGCAAAAGCTGCCTCATGAAGAGCTGTCACTCCGTTTCTGTCAGCAGCATTAACTTCTGCTCCTATTTTGAGTAAAAATTTCACTGTCTCAAGACGACCCACTCGAGACGAGATCGAAAGTGGCGTTACTTCTAAGCCATGAGAGATATCATTGGGGAAACAAATGATATTACTATAGGAATAATTCATCATTTGAGGCTCAGAAAGATAATTGTAAAGATGAGCATATCGTGAATCTGAAATAACAAGATAAAAGTAATAATCACATTCACTTTGAAAATCAATTGAAGGAATTACATCATGAAAAGAAGGCAATAAAGTTTTCATTTGTGCCTCGGAAGCTCTCTGTTCGATGCCAACTCCTTCCTCTACTAGTAATCTAACAAACCAAACATCTAAGTTTGCAGCTGCAAAAATTATCATCAGATCATCACGGAGATTTTCAGCCCCTGACGCCACGAGTATTTTGGCAATTGTCAATTCTGAGAAAACAATTGCATAAAATAATGGAGTTCTTCCATCCTGATTCTTGACATCTGGGTCTGCTCCAAAGTCCAGAAGTAGTTGAACCATATCCTTGTTTCTTCTTTCTACTGCAATGTGCAAGAGGCTCGGAAATATGTTGAAGTAAGTTTCATCCTCGTGATATGTTACATTGATGTAAGCGCCATGCTGCAACAGTGATTTGGTTACATTGTATAAATCATGACAAACAGTTTTGTACAAAAGATCAGTATCATTCTTCAGTTTTTCAGTATCTAGAACAAAACCGCTTTGCTCTAGTGCTGCGATGACATTTGTAGTACCTTTCGCCCTTAAAAGCTTGATGGCAGAAAGATATGCTGTTTTATTTTTTTCACAGTTTACATTTGGATGATTTTCCAAAATACTCATGATAACGTCAGGACACTTTGACAAAACTGCATGTTGTAGAGCAGTGTAACCCTCAATATCTAGAGTGTCAACTTCAATACCATTTTTCAAAAACATTTTTATCATCTTTAGATGATGATTTCGAACAGCAATTTTAAACGGTGTGCCTGAATCTCCTGTCTTTACTTCAACTCGCATTTTTCCTCCTTGGGAACTGCATTCACATTCATCATCATAGATCCTTCCATACAATGAAGAGCCGTTGATTTCAAGAGGACCTACTGCATGCATATCAGCTCCCTCTTGAATTAAATGTTCAGCGATTTCCAGAAAGCCTCGCATAGTGGCAAGATGAAGTGCTGTTGATCCATCATTTGTTGTTGCATTAATATCAGCACCATATTTCAAAAGCAGTTTTACAATCTCCATATTTTCATGATCTACAGCTTTATGCAAAATTGTTCCACCATCTGAATATCTAGAATTAGCATCAGCCCCATAAGTCAAGAGATGTTGGATAATCCGCACTTGTTCTCGCTCTACTGCAATGTGAATGCTTGTTAGAGGACCATTTACTTCCTCGTCAACTTTTATGCCCTCATCCAGAAGCAACTTAACAACTTCATCAGCGCCTTGATCCAATGCTCGTTCCATAAATTGCAACAACGTGACGTTATTTTCTTCCTCTGCACAAATTTCATCAATTATCAATTTTGCTGCTCCTCTCTGCTTGTGCAAAACTGCATGATGAACACTGTCGAAACCCAGTTCCAGAGTCACACAGTTGATCAGCGCCTTCAGATCTTTTAGTCTTTCGTCCTCTATTGCTGCAAATATTAATTGTTTGGGTGGCGTTGTAAAGTCGTGCTGAAGCTGCTCACAAGTGCCCATGTAATAGCCGTCTTCACTGTCACTTTCGCCATAAGAATCGTCGTAATCATTATAATCATCATCGTCATAATATAATTCACCATGTAGATGCTGATCGTCGTAAAACATGTTTTAGCAAACCCAGAATTTCGTCTATGTATCATAAAATTTTCACTCTTCAATATTCGAGAATAGTTACTCAAAATAAAAAGATGAATTCAATTGGTAATCAGCAAGTACAACAAAATTGCATTTCGAAGCACCCACACGTAGGGGACAGTTCAAAAAATGTCATGATATTTGACTCAAGTCTCTAGATATAACACAATGAGTATTAAATGATTCCTTGCTTTATCACTGCGACTGTCACATGACGACCTTTCCAGTTCCACTATCAGACTGAATCAGACTGGAGGAGGGGATGGTTCGGTTGGTGCATTCCATTGTGCTCCGCCGGCGCTTAGTAAGCACGTGACGTACTCAGCTGGCTTTCTACTCCTCCTGCTTATCTCAGCACAGTTTTAGATTTCACTTCTCTAATATCAGTCATGAGTCAAATCACTTATAAGCAGGGCTGGATCAACGATTATGCCGCTGTGGACACGCAAAAATTTGCCGTCCCGGGGGGTTGGCCGGGTGGCAGCGCCCCCCCCCCCCCCCGAAAAATTTGGAAAATCTGACCGCTGTAAGTTGCAATTTTAGCCCATTTTTTACTTAAAAATGTCCAAAAATGAGGCTGTAATTTTTTTAGCTTTTAATCCAAGTTTTACCATGGGTTTCTTGTTTAATCAAGAACTTAATTTCGGATGATTTTAAATAATAAAATCATTTGTGTCAAATTACGTCTCCTATTTGTCCGATTTCTTGATCCCCCCCCCCTCCACCCTAGGCGAGTGACGTAATGTTATGGACGGCCTCTTCTCTCTAAGTAATTTAAGTTATTTTTTCCGGTCAAATTTTCAGGGGCTGCATTTTTTTTTTTTTTTTTTTTTTTTTTTTTTTTTTTTTTTTTTTTTTTGGGTTTCTCGATTTCTGCCGCCCCCGAAAATTTGCCGCTGTGGGCACAGGTCCACTTTGCCCCTACGGTTAATCCAGCCCTGCCTGTAAGTATGTACGCGACAGATGAAATTGTGAAACGCTAGGCTGATTGTGAGTACTATTGGCCCGTGCGAGTTTTTTTGTAGTTTTCTGCCTGCCCCTCCCTTCTCCCATTTCTCCATGTATGCATTTACATTGCAAACCCAAAGCCCCTTGGGTGGGTCGAAAAAATACGTTCTTTCGTTTTGACCATATGATAGCAACAAACCGGCGTCGAGTATGGTAAAACTCACGAGTAGTCTCATCCTTTGGCATCACCCTTAACATCGACTCCCGGGCATTTTCAGGGATGAAAATCAAAATATCCATGTCATGACAAATTCAAATATCAATCCGCATGGAACTTGACAAGTTTTGGTTCTTCGGGCGAGAAAAATTTTCGGTTTCGAAAATTTCAACTGTTTTAACTTGCGGAGAAAAAATTAAATTCCCTACGACGACTTTCGGCCCTGAAAACAGCCTCTTTGTCGCCCAAGGGGAAGAATTTTGAATAAATACAAATTTCGAAAATGTTGCACCTTATGCCTCATGCCAAAGGCAAATTACGGTGCCAAGCCTAATAATGTCATCGTTTTTGCCGTACATATCCTAAGGCTTATAACGCCACATGACGGATTAAAATCGCGCGAAACCCCCGCGATGTTGCCGTTACGGGCGCATTACCGCGCCACTTGGGAAACGGGGACAGGACAACCGGACCTAAATGGCAACACTGCGGTGTTTTCGCGCGATTTTAACACGCTATTTTTGACTACACGCTTTTTGATACCTATGTAACTACGCCAATGCCGATGAAATTTTCAGTCTTGGTATAATCTTGTCACTTTTATGAGAGCTGGAGTGTCAAATTTTCGAGATTCGTACATATTCAAAATTTCTTTCCCGGGGTGGCCAAAGGGGTTGTTCTAAACTCATTCCTTTCTTTGCACGTCAAAACGGTCAAAGTTGTCGTCCGTAGGGCATTAACCTGTTAGGCTCTTTGCGGATTGGTGTTGACATTTTTAAAAAAATTTCAAGTCATCATAAAAACTCGTCAAGTTGCAATACTTTGTAGCAACGTAGTGAATGTTTAAGTGGTAAAGAACTTTAAAAGCATGAACTGGACCTGGAGCGCCTTTTAATTCTGGTGATACACTACACTTTACCAGTCCCTTAGTTAAGTTGCCTATTTGAACCAAATTCAACTAACAGACAGTGAGTTGGAAATGTAGCCAACGTGTGTTCCATTTCAGAAACCTGTAAACCTCAATTCAGAAGGAAAATGCTCATCCAAGCACAATTTTTCCTCAAAGAGATAAGCTGTTTGGTGCAACACTAGTTACGACCATTCAGGAAAGCAATTGCGGATGCTTCAGATGCTGAATGGTCGCAACTAGTGTTGCACCAAACAGCGTATCTCTCCGAGGGAAAATCATGCTTGGATGAGCTTTTTCCTTCTGCAGATTTTCAGTTTTCTGAAATATAATGTTCTTTGGCTACATTTCCAACTCACTGTCCATACGACTCATGTGTCTTTTGCGATATCTATCAATAATTTATATTCTATCGTTTTAGATTGATTTTCTTGTCATGTTTTTATATTTATTTTACAGGCCATTAGAATTGGCATTTATGTTTCTTTTGGTGTGGTATTACTGCACGCTAACCATTCGAGAAAGCATTTTGAAAGTCAATGGCTCACGGATCAAAGGCTGGTGGAGAGCCCACCATTTCATATCGACAGCTGTCTCTGCAATTTTGCTGATATGGCCTAATTCCAAAGCGTGGTATGCATTCCGACCGCAATTCATGATGTTTAATGTGTACATCAGTAAGTATTTTTTCCCCTTTTTCTGATATCCTAAGAGTTCTTGTAACTCCAACTCTAAATAATCTCTAGTTTAAAAAAAGGTTTGAAAAACCCTTCATTGTAACATCAAAAGTGCATGTGTAGAATGTTGGCTTTTTTAATGTTGCAGTTTTTGTTAAACCTTGTTTTGTTTTTATGCGAAACAAAAAATTCTTCAAGAGAGAAATAGCACTTCATTTTTCTCAATGAAATAGTTAATTTTTGGGTAGAAAACAAAGACTCGGTGGATTCTTTTTCACTGAATTTTCATCCTTCTCAGATTTTATTCATTTGAAGTCTCGTGTAAAATTAGATCAGTGTTCACAGTGTCTACGGTTTTGACTTAAAAAGCTTACTTTTAATCAAAATCTATCAAAAAAAATTCATTTTGGTCATTAATTTTTCAAAATTTAATTTCAATCAGTCTTTCGTCTAAGTTCACAAAAACTTGGTTTTCATATGTAGGTACCGTTTTAAGAAAGGTCAAATGAGGGGCTTGGAGAATAAGATGTATAAGTGCGGTTTTTGAAGTATCTAGAAATACCTGTTTAACGTTTCAAAATCGAAATTGTACGGAGCTTAATGGCAGAAAGAAAATTCAGACTCACTTTTTGTCATATAAAAATTGGATTTTAGCAGTGAATTTTTCTCAGAATATATTTATTTAGTCAAAATCATTAGAAGCTCAATTTTTTTTCAAAAATTGCACCCATGATTCGTGTCCTCCCAGCCTCTCAAATAAGCTCTCTAAGGTTAAGGGCTCTCATGAAAGCAGGAGGTAAAAAATATGTTGACGGTTTCAATGAAAACCATTCAATTGGTTTAAATTGCATTAAAAGTTAAAAATTGTACCAAATGACTCATGGGAAATTCAAGATCATGCTTCTTACCTGGAAATTAAGTTTTTGAGGTCGATTTTTCCCCTCATTATTTTTTCAGTTTGTAAGACATCAAAAATCTGTCATTATCAAATTTTTTACTTGCCTTTTATTGGTGCTGAACATTTATTTTTTGTCTGTAGGCTTCGTCCAGTACCTGCAATTTGTCTATCAACAAGGTCAGTTGTACCGGCTGAAAGCACTTGGAGAGAGACATAACATGGACATAACGATCGAGGGCTTCCACTCATGGATGTGGCGCGGACTGTCGTTCTTGTTACCATTCCTTTATGCAGGATATGCTTTTATGTTCTATAATGCATATACCCTGTACACGCTCTCATTTCATCCTGATGCAACTTGGCAGGTAAGATTCGTAAAAAACCCCTGTAACGTCAGAGGGGGGGGGGGGGGTGGTTAGTGGCCCATGATATATTTTTATAAAATTTTAGACCCAAAAGCCAAAAAACCTCTGCAAATAGGACGTAAAAGTGCTCCTAGTGCAGTTGCTAGAGCTGAGATGTTAATGTTTGAATTTGCGATATTTTCTGTGCAGCAGAGGTACAACAAATACTCCACTTTCCGCTGCCTTGCCTCTTTGTAGTACACTTGAGCTAGCTAAGATTTCCTTGTGTCTACAACCATTTATTGCTTTTTTCAACCAGGTAAACAGAGGTGAGGAGGGAGAAGGCTGCGTCAGAAAACACGGCAGAGAAGAATTGACCTAAACAAGTTTTGGTGCTGTTCCAAATCTGAAATTAAAAATGATTTGGTAACAAACCAAGGCGTTTTAACTAAAAACTAATATTTATTTGATATTTCAAACTTAATTAATTATTTGTTACAACGCTCTGTTTTCTCACCCAATCATTTTTAAGTAATGGCGTCCTTCAATCACAAGCATCTAAATCTGAAATTGCATCTAGTTGCCAGAATACAATTGACCACGAAGACAGGGAATGGTTTCGTGTGTGAAACAATCCAAGCCATAAGGACCTGATAAAAATCTGCACACATATCAAACTGTCCAAAGGAAGAACTTGTAATTTTTTGCCAAGCTGTGGCATGTTAGTATGTAGTGAGCATGTTTAATTGAAATGTAAATAAGATTGCTCTTTTATTATCTTATTTGATGTAGTCTTTTGCATTCATGCCTTTAGTCTCCTTTTGTTGAATAAGCCTTCAAGTTTTCTCTTTTCATTTTTTCCAGGTGCCTGTTCTATCGTTTTGTTTTTTCATTCTATTCCTGGGTAACACTGTCACTACATCTATGGTTATTCCTCAAAAATTCAGTGAACGCTTTGCTGATGTAAGTATTTCCTCAATAGTATCTCCAATATGTTTTGGCTGTATCACTTCTCTCACACTGTCCACTTGCCAAACTGTCAAATCCGATCTAAATGAGAGGAGACTATTTAAATTTCATCAAAAAATATAGTATGAAGGAGTGTGAATATTAAAAAGCAAGATTCAGAAGGAAGTATTAGTTTTAACCATGGCAAACAGAAAGATGCAGAAAGATAGTGAATATCTGTATCCAATTTGTTCAACCAGATCTAACATTTGATGCGAAACATACAGACAATTTACATATCAATGTAGGTTGCAAGCATGAAAAATGGGGTTGAAAACATGAGGTTGAGCCTGTAAGTTCAGTGGTCTCGGCCTGTTTTGAATACATTTCTGTATAAATGCTTACTTTTTGAAAATGGAGTATATTATCCTCTCTTTTTGAGAAATATTCTGTAAAAGTTTCAAGGAACTGTAAAGAACAAAACGTCAGGTTCTCCAGTTTCCAGATGAAATAAAAATATGCAACTAAAATAAGATAAATGTGATGAAATTGTCAACTTTCTGTGTCTGATTGTTTATCATTTATTGTTCTGTGTAGCTTACTAAACTTACAAAACAGGAACAGGAGCGTCTTAAAAGATGGGTAGGCCATCATGATTTCTTCTTTGCACTTCAAATTGCTGCACTGATAAATCACAAACCTACATGTTTGCATTTATGACAACTAAATTTCTAAGAAAATATGATAAAATTAAGAAATACCTAATTCTGAATTGCTCTAATGCGAAATCTCGTTTTTCGTGAAACGTTCTTTCTCTAAGGTGGTTTGAATTGACATTAATCGCCTTACTCATAATCAGTGTTTTTATTTCACCCCAAAATTCTAGAAACTCGTCACCCAGTAAGCCCAGTTTTCGAGAGCCATGAAGATTTTTCAAAATGGAGTGTGAACTTTTGTTTAGAGTGAGATTGTAATAGAAGCATGGCTTTGTCGACACGAGCGCGGTTTGCGGAACATTGGGTGAACTTTTTCCTTGAACTTATTATGATTCATCTATAACTTACTCTTCCCAACCCTAGATTGTTGACATGATCTGCCCAAAAGTTCCGTAAACTGTGCTTGTTTGGATTAGGCCTTATGCATATATAAACTTTTGGGATCCCAAACCTGATTTTCATGCGCATTTTATACCCAATATCCTATGAAGTTAAAACACTGCTTTGAAGTTCCATCTTTAGGCTATCTATCCTAATGATCTTAACATGTATGAATGAAAGACCAATGCATTCTATGCCTGCTCACCTACATTACTTTCCTCTTTCATGGTTCCCGGAAGAAAATCTCTCAAAAATATTTCTCAGTTCGTATTTTCCAAAATTAGAAGTGACCCTGAATGTGTAAATGAGAATCAAAATACACTGACCAAGTCTACCAACAATCATTAACTGAGATTACATATTGCTGGCTAAAGTGCGAAATAATGCATCTCCATTTGCGACATTGCAGATTTCCTGTTGTACTTCATTTTTTCTTTAAAAAACTAGTTAACGCAATTTCTTGATTTCTCAATGTAAACAGAATCCATTCATTACTTTAAACTTCAAACTATAAAGTTAACTTGTTCCTCATTGAAGAAATAGAAGAGGAGCAGAAATTTTGAAGCGTTGCATTGGAGGTATATGGTTTTGTACTTTGGCCATTGATATTTTAAAGACTTTGTTTCAACCGAACAAAGATGACTCTACCACAAAAGTGTAATCTTTTATAACTTTTTCCATTTCTGTAACCGAATGGCTCTCAAATTAAAATACCTTCAATAACACGCCATGTCTAAAGTATGCTTGATAGGCAACATGTCTGCTTTTTTCAGGGAAACCGATTTTTTTATTTCTTTCATTCCTCTTGGAATTAAGGTAGAAATATTATGTCACTTCAGTTATTGTGGATTCGGAGAAATAACGCTTTCTGTCATTGGAGTAACTCCATGAAATGCCCCTACGAGAGTCTAAACTTTCTGAATGTATACAAACATACTCTGAATTTTTAGGCGCCAACAAATTTGTTTGCATGGCTCTGCATGGAAGAAGTTCCGGGAAAAAAATTCCAAGGCAAAATCGCTTTTTCATGCTTTGATTGACTGAATGATGAATAAGATTCCTTATTCAATTTATGTATCAACAACAAGAAAATTTTAAAGTAGACAGGAGCGGACTGACACTACAAAATGATTTGGACTACTGTCCCATGAGTGCTCAGATTATTTCATTTTGAATTTTTTTAACCTATTCAAAATAAAGTATGACATATCAGGACTTTTCCCGGTGTCCCTGCCTGCCTGTCCACCTCAAAAAATAGATATTGTTTTTTGAGGGGTTAGTTTGAAGTGTCGCTTAAAAGGCTAAAGTGGCTGCAGATAAAATAACAATAGTGTACTTGGTCCAGACAGCGTATCCTTGCCTTAAATTAACATATAAAACCTCTTGGAAAGCACAGGAGATAACATCATCTTCTGCTTTTGTAAGCATTATTGTCTTCTCCGTATTATCTTTCATACATCATTAATGCAAATGTGTAATGAGTATTTTATCCTTTTTCAAAAATCATGAAGCCATCAAAAAAATTTGAAACCTTGACCCTTTTTGTCCTCTCCTTTTCTAATCTTAAACTTGGACCATGTTGTTCGAGCACTCCCATAACTTTACACGCACCACCAAATGTGTGATCGTCTAGGGTGAGGGAACTTCAATGCATGAAAGCAACTTTTTTCACAAGAAAAATTTTTGTGAATTCGACAAAAAATTTGAATTTTCGAATCGCATGGTTTATACCACACATTCGTTCCAATTGAGGGCGTACAATTTTACTTTATTCAGCAATTTTGAGCCCTGAAAATGAGAGTGGTAGACCAATTTTACGGAGAATGTTCCTCAAAACTTGGTATGAATTAAAGCTTTGTGCAGCTTGTTTTTTCTCCAAAATTTCATGAGTAAAACAAATCGCGTAACGAGAATTTAGAAATCAACTCTTAAACAAGACAAAGTGTTCACAATTAACATTGATCAAATGGCAAAAATACAAATAATGTTAATTATGTCATCAGTATAACATAACTTCGTTGACCTTTCGTCAAAAATACTTGTTAATATCTCGTTCAGGAGTTGCTTTCCAACTTTTCTTTGTGTGAATTATTTTCTATGTAGGATTTCAAAGAAAAAACATGCTACATTTTTTTCAAGTTAAGACCTTGTTTAGTGGTCCATTCTTCTCCAAAATACGTTTTTTTTTTTAAACTGCTGATTCCAAGTTATGGAAACCCTTGTCTGGTTTGACATTTTTTTACCCTTTTTTCTTCATGGACACCAATTTACATAAGTTTATCATTTTCACTTGCTAGCGTAATTATCATAACTGATATTTGCGCAAGAATATGAATAAACTTATCTGAAGTACGGTTTAATAAATTGTCCTCAAAATACTGTTTTGCGCGGGGATATCAATGAATAGAGAATAGAATGTTGGGTCATTCCATATAGAACCTACCAGCCATGCAACCGCCCGACTCGGATTTTGATGATAAATTTTTTTCTTGATCAGACCACCAAATAATGAACTTTTGCAAAATATTAGGTCTCAAATCGAAAAACTCACTGAGATATGAATTTTGGAAGTTTTAAGAATTTTCAAGAAAGAGACGTTTCGAACTTCCGAGAAAGAGAGGGTCATTTTCCCCAAAAAAAATTCACCCCGGGCCCATTTTTCGTCGGATTGAAGTGAAAATTTGACACAATGTCCATGAAAGTATGTAAATTTGAGAATAAAATGCATAAAATGTTCGACTTCACTCATTGATGTGCTGCGGTTGATTGTTCGTTGTGATTTTGTCTGATTTTAGCGACAAAACCTTCCCCTCTTCAAATGCTCATAACTTTTGAGCTGCAAGTTATTTTTTGCTCCAATTTTTTTTAAAATGCTCCTAAGTGTATTAGAAAGACGCCTAAAGAACAATTCTGATGGCGTTTTGGGCTTTAGTATCTTTTTTTTTCACTTTTGTCCGAAAAAGGCCTAAAAAACTGGAAATAACACCAACATTGTTCCGATAATCGACCATTACCCTAAAAAGTCAACTCAAAAATCGCTCAATTTTTGCCTGAATGGTCCTTACTGTGTGTACAATATGTTCGAAAAATAAAATCAATGGTATTTCGGGTTTAAATATCTTTAACTTCGAGTTTCTTCCGAAAAAAGGCCAGCAAAACTGAAAAACACTGAAATTACACCAATTATCGGCGCTAACGTTGGAGTAGCAACTCAAAAATTGCTCACATTTATACTGAATGGTTCTCACTGCATGTGAAATACGTCTGTGGAATAAAAGTGATGGTATGTTGGGTTTCCATAACCCTTTTCCCAACATTTTTACTCAAGAGAGGCTCGCTCAACTGAAAAAAGCGCTAGGAAAATCTCATTAACCGACCATTACATTGAAAAAACAATTGATTGGGGGCCCAGATTTTTCACCAAAGGACTCTTGTTGTATGGGAAGCACACTAACTTGAGGAGTGAATATAGCAAGGGATTCACTCTTAAAGGGAGGGAAAAAATATGTACAAAAATCATGTATTTAGATATTTTGCGATAAAAAAATAGAATGTTATCAATAAAGTAACTGTAAGGTTTGCCCTTGATTTACTCAATTCAGAACTTAGTTGCTTTTTCAACTCGAAGCATTAAATTTACTCCAAAAAACTTTTTAATTCACGGACGCGGATGGATACATAAATGAAATCTCAAAGTCGTTTTCTTCCTCTGATTTGGATAGAACAAGCCCAAAGAACCAATGCCTATCACGCACACACGCAACAACGAATTTGTTGAGATTTCTAGCATAACTTTAACTTACTCTGGGTTAGAGTAATTATTCAGGGCAATCAAGATCGTGATCTATATCAGCAACAGTCTAATTTATAGATCTGAAAATTCAAAAGTTTTTTGAAGTAAATTTAATGCTTTGAGTTGAAAAAGCAACTAAGTTCTGAATTGAGTGAATCAAGGGCAAACCTTACAGTTAGGTACTTCATGGATAACATTCTATTTTTTTAACGCAAAATATCCAAATACATGATTTTTGTACATATTTTTTCCCACCCTTTAAGAGTGAAACCCTTGCTTGAGATGTTGAGGAAATAAATAGGTAACTCAATTTTTCAAAACTATAATTACAATACTTCAACTCTAGTCAGCATGAATAACCTCCCTCAATTTTTAACAATTTAATGTTCTGATAATTCCTATTAGAACTTTTTATCTTTTCCATTAATTTTTATTTCAGAATACATTTGAAAGTTATTAACCTCATTATGATGCCATCCAGGAGTCAGTAAATCACACTTAATGTGAATAGGGATGCTGTCAACACCTTCTCATCTTTTTGCCTTACATTTTCGAATATTTCTTATTAATTTTAGAACACTCATTAGTGATGGCTGCATTTCGTCCACTTTTGTCTTCTTCACCCCTATCTCCCAGCCATCACCAAGAATCACCCATAAATTTAATTACTAAACTTGCAGCTGATAACTACACAGATTATAGCCAGCCAATCTTGTGTACGCTTGTTGTCTCACCACCCGTGACCTCAGCAAGTCTATATAAGCGTGCGCAGCCCTAAAACCTAGGTCTGTCTGTCTTTTCTCATCTCTTAGACCCCAGGTTCTTTACCATCTAGACCCGTACAAGTACGTTTGTGCCCACTCTCGCCTTCTTGCACATTTTCTGAGTGACTATTTTCTTTACTGTTTAACTCTTGTGATTCTGTGCTATCTCTTTTGACTCAGTACGACTCTAGATTTCATCTCCAAAAATTCAGTGTCTATAATTCTCAATCCATTCTAGTAGTTTGTTGATTCTACCTTTTATTAAAAATCAACTGGTGCCGAACGGTCTCACAAACTTTCAACCCGAATTTGAGTCTATCACCCGTGATATACTCATATTCCATAACAGATGCCTATCAGTTGAGAGATACCTACAGTTTTATTTCCTTACTTTAAAGCCGATCGTAAAAATTGGAGTGAAGGGGAAAACTACTACAACCAAGAATACACTATATTCACTCCTCAAGTTAGTGTGCTTCCCATACAACAAGAGTCCTTCGGTGAAAAATCTGGGCCCCCAATCAATTGTTTTTTCAATGTAACGGTCGGTTAATGAGATTTTCCTAGCGCTTTTTTCAGTTGAGCGAGCCTCTCTTGAGTAAAAATGTTGGGAAAAGGGTTATGGAAACCCAACATACCATCACTTTTATTCCCCAGACGTATTTCACATGCAGTGAGAACCATTCAGTATAAATGTGAGCAATATTTGAGTTGCTACTCCAACGTTAGAGCCGATAATTTGTGTAATTTCAGTGTTTTTCAGTTTTGCTGGCCTTTTTTCGGTAAAAACTCGAAGTTAAAGATATATAAACCCGAAATACCATTGATTTTATTTTTCAAACATATTGTACACACAGTAAGGACCATTCAGGCAAAAATTGAGCGATTTTTGAGTTGACTTTTCAGGGTAATGGTCGATTATCGGAACAATTTTGGTGTTATTTCCAGTTTTTTAGGCCTTTTTCGGACAAAAGTGAAAAAAAAAGATACTAAAGCCCAAAACGCCATCAGAATTGTTCTTTAGGCGTCTTTCTAATACTCTTAGGAGCATTTTAAAAAAAATTGGAGCAAAAAATAACTTGCAGCTCAAAAGTTATGAGCATTTGAAGAGGGGAAGGTTTTGTCGCTAAAATCAGACAAAATCACAACGAACAATCAACCGCAGCACATCAATGAGTGAAGTCGAACATTTTATGCATTTTATTCTCAAATTTACATACTTTCATGGACATTGTGTCAAATTTTCACTTCAATCCGAAGAAAAATGGGCCCGGGGTGAATTTTTTTTGGGGAAAATGACCCTCTCTTTCTCGGAAGTTCGAAACGTCTCTTTCTTGAAAATTCTTAAAACTTCCAAAATTCATATCTCAGTGAGTTTTTCGATTTGAGACCTAATATTTTGCAAAAGTTCATTATTTGGTGGTCTGATCAAGAAAAAAATTTATCATCAAAATCCGAGTCGGGCGGTTGCATGGCTGGTAGGTTCTATGTGGAATGACCCTGTTTAGAGTTTTCTGCTTCTAAGACGCCCTCTCCTGGAGGCAGTCATTTGTAGTAAATAAGGTTTGAATTGGTCCAAAAAGTTCTAAAAAATTATAAGCAGGAAACAAGAAATTTTTTTACTTGCTTTTCCATCCATTTTTAATTATACTTTGATTGATTTTTCAGGTCGATGATGAAAACGCTAACCAAGCAAGAGGCGAACCGAAAAAAACCGAATGAATCTCTGCTAAAAAAATGTTGTAGTTTTTGTTTTTTCTATTTTCTGGGTGAGTCTAGTTTCTACATGGTAAAGTTAGTTTTAATGGAGCTATAAAATTCATTTTGTATTTTAATTTAATTTTTTTTTTTTAATTTTGAAAATTGTTCGTCTGTTGGTTCGACCAATTATTCATTGCCTGTACTTAAATTCTTTCCCTACATTAAAAAATCGGTGAACTGTTTTTCTCACTAAAAAGAGAAAAGAATGCGGTGAATTTTAGTTAATTTAAAGCTTAGTCATTTTGAGTCAAACGTAAGGGTGTACCGAGGGAGATTAATCAAAAGAACAATGGTGTTCAATGAGGACCTGGAAATTTTGTGCTTTCACCGTGTGGCTTAGCGGCAAAAAATAATTCCACAACTACATATCAATTACCTGAATCGTAAATGAAAATTTCATTTTTTTCTTTTTTTTTCTTATTTTTTTTTTTTTTTGGTTGATGATTTGATCTAATTGATACAGTGTTCCTATACAGAAAAAATTAGAACCAGTTGCTTCCGTACTAATAAGCGAGTAGATATATATATCAGGTATCTGTTATTATAGAAGAGACTTGAATAGAAAAGAAATTTGCCTGAATTTTTATTTTTAGTATTTCAGGTTAGTTAAAACCAGAATTAAAGCCTTCAACTTTTCAGAACTGTCGCACTCTGTTTCAGCACTAATTTTGTCGAATGCCAAAAATCTTAGTTTGCTATGGAATAGCACCTCTAGTTTTCTAGTCCAGTTTACTGCTCCGTGTAACACCCCAAAACATTGCAGTTTTAGTTTATAACTATTACTGAAATTGGGTAGTCCCCAATTTATTGGTGCGCAAAATTTAAAAAATGACAAAATAATAACGGAACACCAAATTTTCAGGTCCAATTTACAATTTGTTAGTGTTTGTTAGAATAGTCTTCTGGTTATCATCTCAACATTTCAGGAAATTTAGAAGTTTCCTATTCAGTCTGGTAGCTACCAGCACACATTTCAAATGCACATTACTCAGTTTTAGAGGCTGGAAATTTCTAAATGTCTCAAATTTAACGGCATATATAGTGTTAGTAATTTTCAGAGTTTTATTGATGTTAACCCAAATATTAATTTGAATCCTTTAAGTTGTAAGAAATGCATTTGCTAGCAGTAGTTAATACTGAATTTCTTGAAGTTAGGTATAATTGTTAACTAAAAACATTCAACAGCTGGTGCTACAGTAAAATAGTAAGAATTAATTGTATAGTTTCCATGAAAAGGCAGTTTACAAGTGCGCTTGCCGCATCAAAGATCCAACCATGCTGGATCACCAAATGTATTTTAATCTTCACAAGCTGCTGAAAATAATTTTGATTCTGAATCCTTGGAAAACTTAGGCATTTTGTCGGTGGAACTGCGAGAATGCATATCTCAGTTGCAGTGTTTCAAAATCTCCCTTCCTATTTTATTTTTTAAAAGGAGACTAAACCTTCATTGTGGCTTGAAATTTTCCCTGAATATTCTTCATTCAATGAAGAAAAATCGCCTAAATTCTCAAGAAATGACGCTTAGTAGTTTTCAATGTAAAAAATGAAGTATAGCAGGAAGTCTGCAAAACAGTAAACCGAGGTATGCATTTCTACAGTTTCACTGTCGACTTCAACAGGCTTTTCAATAAGCTCCTGTAAAAAAAAACTCCACAAAGTATTAGAGCTTTGAAAAGTTGAATTTTCCCTCAGTTTGAAAAAGTCATTTTTACAATAGAAATGGTATTACCAGTACCTAGGAACTCCAGTTAAGTATTTATTTTTCGAATGTTTTACAAGTTAAGTACCTATCATTGCACTGAAATTAAGTGCTCTGCATTTCAATCGCGCTTGAAGCTTATTTGAAGAAGAGTGACACGGTTACATTTTCAGGACGAGCTCCGTGGTCTGTTCTAAGTGAAAAAACTTCTGTTGGAACTACTCATTCATTTCTCCTCATATTTTTAGTATCTGGACTTGTTGAATCCATCTATTCAGGAAATATTGGCCAAATTTTCCCGGTGGAGACAAAATGTTGATAAGCTTAAAATACTCTAAATTTCCTGTTGTAGAACTCTTGTAAAAAGTCCCTAGTGTGTTTTGGGCTTCCGATATAAAAAAATTGAAACCAGGTAAAACAGGTGTATTAACTTTTTTAGATGAATGCAAACAAACTTCTCATGATTACTTGTAACTCTCAAGATAATTTCCATTGCATGTATCCATAAAACTTTGACTGTTTTATGTATTTTGAAGTTGCTTTTAATTTATAGGTCCCATTTATTTCAATTTTCTAAGCTGCAATATTTTTTATTCCTATACCGGTGTTACCAATTCCTCAATGATTTCAATCGTAATGCATTTAATGTATTTCATATGTCTGTATCTGTTTCTAAGAGACATTACAATAACTTCCTATTTATTTTGAGGTCTTCTAACCATACATGCCAGTAATTTTTTACAATAAAAAACGTCATCTACGTTTGCAACATATTGCATCTTTTATCTTTCAGAAGCACGTCTAATCAAAAGCTGTAAGAACCGATTGTAAAAAGTATAATAAAAGTAACACAGAACAAGATTAACTGTTAACTGTGATGAAATTCATGAACATATTATTGTTTCCCTCTCTATCTTAGAGCTCTCTCTAAAGAAACGAAAAATTTACTTGATCTGAAAAATCTGTGTAAATAATAGATTTATCATAACTGTTCTTACGGCTAAAATAAAATTTTAAAATTCATCTGCTAGTCTTTAATGTTTATCTCTCTTCCTATTCCTGCATTATAAATTTGAAGAACTTGCATAAAATAAATATTGCAGGGTATACATACAACACTATACAGCACTTTTACGTGTATTACACAGCAGAGTTGTTTCAGCGTAAGTATGGTAATTGAGCCGAGCTATCATGTTTGTTTTTATCTATGTATTGGGTGATGAAACTATGAAAACAGCGCAAAGATTCTTTGAGGGTTGGCCAGATTTTCGTGCAGGATGATTAAGGGAGTTACATGTTCAAAACTCATTAAACATATAATCGTGAATGCATGCCTTAATCAACTAATATTGATCATTGCTCAATATTTTTTAAACTATTTTCTTAAAGAGTGCATATGAGCGCTCAAAATGCATTCTTCCATTTTCGGAAAGTATCATCTTTAGAGCAGAAGGAAAAAAATTAATCAGGTTGATTTGAGGAACAATTTATTATAAAGAATCAATAGTATCAGTCAAGTATCATAAAACGAAAACAATATAAAAGGTAATTCGGAGCTTAAAATAAGCTAAAGGCAAAAAGGGTAGGAATCTTAACTCTAAAGTAACAAGATTTGCATCTCCTCTTGAAGAAATATGGTTCAGGAATAGAAGTTGTACTCAGTGCACTTCACGAATTAAAAAAGAAAAGAGGACACATGATTTTAATCATTGAAAAAAGGGAGCGAAATAGACTTTTCTACTTCTTGCAATTTCCGTCGCTCTGCATGAACGTGCCGTGGTATAATCTTGTTAGGTTCACTGCTGAGCCTTGGTACTTGAAAATATTTTGGAGGAATTTGGATCGGATTCACAGCATTAATCTTCATTAATTTTGATACAAATTCTGGAATTGCCTCATCCTTTTCACTGACCTGCAAAATGAATCCATTGCATAATTAATAAGCAGTTTATCGATATCATACCATCCGTGTGATGACGAGTAGAAAAAATGCACTGTTTTCCGTTAGGCTCTTCCATGGTGTCTAGGACCGGGAAAAATTGGGGTTCATCAGAAAATGAAAAAATGAAAAATTTTCGATGAAAAAGCAGAGAATCTACTCCAGAAACTAGAACTCTCTTCTTCAACCATTTTGAGACCACCCGGTTTTCAAGTTCTTAGGAAATTTTAAGTGCCTTTTGTTTCAGCATTCCTTCAGTCAGGGAATTTTAAAAAGTCAGAGAAAACCTGGGAATATTAGCGGAAATGACGAAAGTGTCAGGGAAACATTGTTAAGTCACCTTCATTTGCTGTTTAGAGTGTGTTTGAAGTTTTGAACAACAGATTTTGTCTGAAAATTATTTCAACTTATGGCTTTTAAACCATCTGCTATATTTTCAATTGCTAGGGAATTTCCCAGAAATGTGGCAGGGAAATTTCAGGGAATTTCATTATCTTTAGATATGGCAACCCTGGATATTGAGGCTTATGTTATTGCACCTGAGCTGCCATTATTGACCTCTTGGACGACACATTTGAATCTTCAAATCATACTTCTAATGGACAAGTTTTCATTGACCAGATGACATGAACATCAGGAGGAAACGCTTTTGGAATTAAAAATTTAAATGTGCGCCAACGAATTGGCCAAGAGATGAAAAAAAAATAGTTATCATTAACAGGAACTTCGGAGAATTATAAAGTTTTTCCAAGAAAATCTCAGAAAGTGGGATAAAACGTCACTTTCTCATCAGAGAATGAGCTCCTGAAAATCAGAAAAATCTGGGAATGAGCGAGGTCAAGAATTTTAGAAGCCATGTTGTAGAGAGATTTCACCATCTCAATTTCTTAGCTGAGTTTACTCTTAGTCTTGCCATGCGTTAGTATTTTTGCTCAGGAGGCCCACCATGTTGATAGAATTTGAGGTGTAATCTATGATATTCATGACAGATAGCAGGCTTTTATAAAATTTCTTCCAAAAGAGAGATACATACAATGAAATCTCACTGAGTTAAATTGTCAAGGGTCGGAGAGAATTTTCAACTTAAGCGACTTTAAGTCTTACTTACTTTACCGCTTGGTATAAAATAAGTTAATCGAGCTCAGCAATTTCGAGTAAATCATGAGTGATTTTTTAAGTAACTTCTCCAAGTCTTACTTACTTTACCGCTTGGTATAAAATAAGTTAATCGAGCTCAGCAATTTCGAGTAAATCATGAGTGATTTTTTAAGTAACTTCTCCAAATTTTTCAATAATAGATTATAAATTTTAAATTTTTTAAGTGTATAATTAAAATCTCTTTACTTTCAACAAATCATCGGAGGACATCAAAAGTCACAGATTTTGAAGCTATTATTTCTGTAATTCCTTCAAAAATACAGATGTCATAATAAACTTAATGAAAAACGTTTCTTCCTTTTAAAATCGCTCCTTTCTCTTGAATTTTTACAATCAAAATCAAATTTTCATTGGATTTCCTGAAAATTTTTCTTCGACTTAAGCAGTTTCTTCCTCGGTGACTTCCACAAACTTGTCTCAATCATACTTTTTTCATCGCGCTTTACAGCGATGTCTAGGGATTGAAGAAATGTTTGACTTAGGCAAGATTTCTTAACTGCAGTGTAACTCAACGAGATTTCACTGTACCCTGAAAATTGAAAGAAATGAAGATCCTCACCGAAGGATGTTTCCTTTTTCCTGGGTACGTCTTGAACTTGGTTGGTTTTTCAATCACCGATGTATCTGATGGTTCAGCTGAAGTTTTTTCAACAATTGAATTTGTCACAGCGTTTAAATAGCCGGACTCATTGGTCAGGGCAGCATCCTTATAAAATTTACTGGAGTCATAGAAGGCTTTGAAAAGGAAATTGGCAGTGGCTTTTGGGAGCATTTTGATGGGATTTCCTTTCGTGATTGTATACAGGAACTCGTACACTTCTCTGGAAAAGTACAAAACCAATAATAAGCGTCCATTCGTCATCAGGAGAGTGGGGAAGAGAAGAGAAAATGAAAAGGTGGTGCCAAGTAGGATTGAAATGCTAATACCTGTAGAGAAAAGGATTTTGACGAACTGTGTATTGGCTGATGGTTCAGACTAGAATTGGAGGGAGAAAAGAAGAGACATATCGGCGGTGAAACTGCAGGAATGCGTATCTCGGTTTGCATGTTGCAGACTTCCGGACATACTTTATTTTGTACATGGAAAACTAAAGAACGTCATTTCTTGAAAATTTTAGTGATTTTTCTTCTCTTTCTAAAGAATATTCTGTAAAAACTTCAAACTTAGGTATTGGTTCGGTCTCCTTTTTAGAAAATAAAATAGGAGCGGGGATTTCGAAACACCGCAACAGAGATATGCATTTTTGCAGTTTCACTGTTGATATGCCAAAGCATCATTCAACATCAATTGAGGGGCTTGGAGGACAAGCGCATAAGTGGGGTTGTTGAAACAATTAAGATATTCATGAGCTCAACTACAACTAGTTTGAAAGTATATTCTGTGCAAAATTCACAACTAAAATCCAACTTTAAAGCATCAAAAAGTGAGTATAAACTTCCTTCCTGCCATACGGCTCCATGTAATTTTGAAACTTTAAACATGTATTTCTTACAATAGCAAAAACTGCACTTATGTGCTTTGTCCTCCAAGCCCTTCAATTTATATGGTAACTTATGGGCCAACTGATAATTGATGCATTCAGGTCGACAAGACATACATCTCTTCTTTCCTTTCCCCAGTTCTAATCTGTTATCACTATTAAAAACTTGAAAAGGATCGATTCGATGAGTGTAATAACTTCAATAGATAATCGAGTTTTTTTAGCATTAATGATCCATAAGAAATTCTATTAAGGACTTCATTTGCTGGATGACCTTTCACATAGGAGATGATCAGACTTTTGACATAGAATACTACCTTCAGCCTTCAGCATGCAACACAACTGTATTAGATCTATGGTGTTAAAAAGTAAAATTTGATAAAGTGAAGTTTTTTAGGAGCTCTTTTAATTTTAAGGCCTAAGACAGCTTTTATTCAATTTGACATTTTTTTTTTCTATTTTGTATTAATAAGTAGACACGATGGGCAACTAGACAAGGTGTGAGTAAAAGCTTAGCAAAACATGTTTACTCTTCAAAATTTCACAAGGAAAATAAATCACACGACAGAGAGTCTGGAAATAAAGTCCTAAACAAGATTAAGATGTCAATAATTAGGATTGGTTAGAGGCAAAAATACAAATGACGTTATTTGTATGATCTAACTTTCTTCTGATCTGTGTTAACATTTTTTGTTCATGTCACGGTCAGGAGATGGTTTCCAAGCTTTCCATGACATGAATCGTTATCTACATATATGATTTTGAAAAGAAAACATGAGACGTTTTCCTCTAGTTCTGCAGGCTGATTGTTGAAATTGATAGAAAAAACGATAGATAAAGAAGACATAGAGATTATGGAGCAATTCGATTGGTTAAAATGGGTGGTGGCTTAAGAAGATATATGATGAACTAACTATGGGGTCTATTGTAGGTTACCGGTAGTTTGTCTATTACCTACCTCCTATGTCCATTGCAACCACCCGCTTCCACCAATAGGATACCTCCATATCCCTTTTTATTAATTCTTTGTCTATAGCTTTGTCTATCAAATTCAACAATCAGCCCGCAGCAGCAGACCTTGTCTGGTTACCCATTTCAGGTTGTCTACTAAAACAGGCTGGCCAAAAATCAGTACTTTTACAGTACATTCCTAAGAAATTCAGTACCTCTTCAATAGAAAAATTCAGTACTTTTTCAGGACCTCTAATTGACGAATTTCGAAAAATTTTAAAAATTTGAATTTCTCGCTTAAATTGAGTCAAAAGTGACAAAAAATTCCGGACCTTCTTGCGGAATTTCTTCACTTTTTCAGTACTTCCGGACCGCCCTTAAAAAATCAGTACTTTTTCTTGAATTTCCGGAAATTCCAGACTTGTAGACACCCTGCATTTGTTCAAGAAATTTAACCTAACTTTCGACAAACAAAAGCCTTTGGCCTAAGATAATTACAATACATGGTAAAATAATTGAAACAAAAATCGAGCTATAAGCCAAAAATAAATTAAACAAGTAATATTTTAAACCACATAGAGACGAGAAATAATGAAAAACTTACAAGAAATTATTATTTCTGAGAAACTTATTACTACTCATCTCTGTGCAATTTGAAATATTACTTGTTTAGTTTATTTTTGGCTTGTAGCTCGATTTTTTTTTCAATCATTTTACCATGTTCTGTGTAGCTTAGCCAGTCAAATTTGGCATTAAAATGTAGATAATTACGATGAATATTTACCTATAATTGATTCCTTTGCAGTCTTTGGGATCAGGATGTGCCTCGAAGAGTGATAAAATGAGAAAAGTAGTGGGCAGGAGCTGCATCATTAACGCAGGACTAACCCCTGATGGGGCTTCACTATCGGCTCGTTTCGCAAAAAAATATTTGACCCACTCCTCGAGGGGAGTCACTAGATTTTGGTCTACACCCCATGTCTCTAGCCTCATTTTTCGTTTGGTTGACTGATTGATACGAATCTGCTTTTTCACACGAGCCAGACGCTGTCGAGTCCTGAGAAAACCCTTGATCTGTGGATAATGAGGAAACTACCATTAAAAAGTGAAAACAGAAGAGACACACTCACTGACAATGAAATCTAAAGCTGTCATGAAGAAAATAATATACAAGGGGGCACACACACACAAAAAAAAAGGAAATTTGCTGTAACTTGACAACGGTGCAAATGTCTGGATTCTATTGCTAATGAAGTATTACTAGGAGGTATGAGGAGTCACTGAGCCAAACTTGCAATGTCATAGTACATTTTGTTTCGTTTTGGTGAGTCTTCGCAGGAGCGGTGTTCAGCGAGCTCATTGTTTTTTAAGATAGGTGATTTTCTGAGGCAACATGCAGCTAAGTCTGTAAATCTTTTGAGTAAATCTTGCAGAGAAAATGCTTCACCAATAAATCAAGTGATATAAAAAATACAAAACACAAAATTTTCAGTTTTTAATTCATAAATTAAATGAGTGAGAAACAGCGGGTTTGATGAATTGTTATAGAATGACCTTGATCCCTATGTAGCATTGCCAAGATAGGGATTTATCGATCAAGTTCATTCGATAACGATTCAAAAATTGACCCGCAAAGTGGCTTCATTGCGTCACAATATAGCAAAGTTTCATTTGACACTATGTTATTTAACTCAAGAATGGTTAAAATTTTATTTAAATTTTTTTGTGAAGTGACGAGAGAGTCTTAGAATATATTAAGTGAGATAAACACCTAGATATTTATGAATAAAAAAAGAAAAGTTGCCATGTGAAACTTAGGATTTTGCAATGCAATTTAGCTCCTTAGACTCTCACCTCTTCAATTGTGATTCAAGAGTGAACCACTTTCTGTTTCAATATGACAACGCAATTTGGATTCTAAGAAACTTGAGACATAGAAAAGCAACTCAATGAGTAGACACGGCCTCTGTCTCTCTCAAAAATCAACCATCTGATGAGAGTTCAATTCTAAACCGCAATTTTAAATACCAAAAATTATCAGGACTACTAGGAGTACCTGTTCTTCTGTCTTCTGTGGGAGGCAGTTGTAAGTGCGTCTTGACTCAACTCCATATTTGTACAGACTGTCTATCAGATTGAGCTTTTCAACATCTGTCCAAAGGAGTGTTGTTGCGGAACTTTCTAGTTTAATTTGCTGGTTTGCTGAGGAAGCTTCTTTTGGTTTGGCTGAACGACTTCGTAACTGAAATAAAGAAGTCACATTGGCTTAGGCTAAAAACTAATTTCTAAATAAATACGGTAAAATAGTAATAGAAAGATATGAAGCTATGACTGTATGAACAGTAGTAACAACGGTCATTATTAGCGATGTTGCTTTTTTACAATTTGCAAACCTCCAAGAATGTTAATACCAAGTTTCAGACTTTTAGCATTATTTTCCATTGAGATATGAATAAAAAACCGCATTTTAAGTATGTAATACAACAATGGAAGTCAAAATAATTGTTCTGTCAATAGCTGTTCTTCCAAATAATTACCTGAAGCTCATTTAACTCTATAAGGATCGTCTATAATGGGCACATTACACTAGTAATGAAAACGAATAAGACTTGCTAGATATTCTTAAAATTTACCATTGAGAGACGACATCTTCAATTTTCTTTCGCATCTGGGATGACTGATAATATAAATTGTTCCTTTTTTATACTTAAAAATAGCCTAATATTTATTTTTTCCCAAAAGTCTTTGAAAACTGACATTGATCATGCGCTGATTTGTAGTAATTGCTCTACCTCTTTTACATTAATTCAGTACTTGGTTTATTTTATTCCTTTAAAAAGAGTTATCCGTAAAAACAGCAGAGGTAGTCTTTTTTAAAAATCACCTTACTTCAATTGACAATTGCTTCAAATTTTAAGTTCTAGAACTAATTTTTTAGAGAAGAATTCCATCGATAATGAATTCTTTAACCGAACCCTATTTGCTTACAGGCATAAAAATGTACAGTTTTGAAAACTTAAAGCGCAATTTTCTCCTAAGTTAAAAACTCCTCATCTGCTGGCTGTACAATATGGCTTCAGTTGTGACTAAGCAATCAAGGTAGATCGCCTTCTTTTAATTTTTATCATGTGTGGCCATTGATAGGAATAAGGAACTGAGCCTTCAGAAGCAAAATTTCAAATGGAGCAATTATTGTCGAGTTGGGTTGAAAAGTAAGAACGCTAAATGAAAAGAGGAAAAGAAGAAATATTTTGATCCAGCCACACACAATCAACAGATACTTCTTCCAAACAAAAACACATTTCAGATTTTGGAGAATAACAAATTGGACCGAGTTTAACAGAAAGGAACCAAGCCACATCAGCGATTGCCCAGTTTAACTGGGAAATTAAATTTTTTACGAGAGAACGGTTGTTCGGATTTCTTTGAAAATTTTAAGGAATTTGCTTCGCACCACGGAGAATTTTCACTGAAATTTGCACGAAAATCCACACAACCGTTTACATGTAAAAAATTAAATTGCCCAATTAAATTTGGCAATAGCTGATGTGGCTTGGTTCCTTTCTGTTTAACGCGGTCCAATTATTCATCTCAGTATCTTGAGCTTTCAAAATAAAGTTATGAAGCAAAATCTCTTAACTGTAAACGATGTCACCTACAGAGGTATAAGATTAAAAAATTAAGTTCTTACATTGAAGGTCTTCCTCTTTATCCCTTCTTGAATTTCATCTCCGGTGGAAGTCGAAGGTTTTATACTGCTAGATGTAGATGCCACAGGTGCACTGGAGGTAGATGCTACCGGTTCATCCTTGGCACTAGTCTTCATCTTTCAAGGGTACTTCAGTTATTCACTGACCCACATGAATTACTGTAAAAGAAGAAATTAGTGATATACAATATAGTTAAGTTATGGTAATATTGAGAAATGGGCGTCCTGGGTGAGCAGTAGCAAATCTACAATAAAATTAAACATATTGACAGTTAAAGTATCAGACCATGTAGGTATCTCGTTTGCAGTGTGTAAAAATGTCCGCTCCTATTTTATTTTTTTTTAGGAGGACAATACAATGCCATTTCAAGAGGGTAATTCCAATTTTCATGGAGTCTTCTCTCCACAGAGAAGAAAATCACAGGAGTTAACAAGAATTGACGTTTAAGTAGTAGTTTGCCAATTAAAAACATACAGTATGGCAGGAAGTCTGCAACGTCACAAACCGAGATATGCGGTCTGGTGGTTTCACTATCGACATGCATTCAAAAAGCAGGATGTCAAAATTTCCGCTCCTTTTCAACTTCTTCAAGAGAATAATGCTAACAATACGTCCCTTGCAAACCGAAACGGCAGAGTTGATTAGAACTCTTTGGTTCAGGTTGTCGATACGACCAGGTCCAGAGACGATAATGATGACATGGAAATCTGGATGACAAATATTGTTCCGGTAGACTCGAAAGATGGATTAATATAATTCACAATGTTTGGAAGTTTGTAATCTCTCTTTTTTTTGTAGCAAGGTTGAACTGTACAGTGGATGATAACAGAGGATGAACACTTACTCATACCTGCAAATAGGAGTCAAAAAGTATTCACGTAGATTTGAGTTACGTGCAGCAGGGCAACTAAGTATTTAAGAACAGTAAAAATGAGAGAATCAATGACATCAACGCGAGACTGCAGAAAAAAATGTACAAAAGTTAAATCCTAGAAGAGACATGCACGCATTTCGCTCTTCGCTCCCATACAGAAAACATAACCTAACTTCATAATAACAACAAAGTATGACCGACGTTGAACTTCGACAAGCTGCGTTGTCTAATTTCGATCCTTTCTTGATCCCTTCTGAAAGTTGTAATTTATACGAGTTAGCTCCAAGTTGCAAAATGTCATGAAACTTTAAATAAAGCACGTTGAAATTTTTGAAAATTCGACTCTGGAAAATAATAGTCAAGTCTCAATTTAGAAATAAAAAAAAGATGAAAAAAAAAAAAAATATTTGGAGTCAAATTCTGAAGTTTCTTATTCAGGTATCGGAAACTTGTGCAAGCTGCATTTGAGTCCCTAAAAAATTGATGAACGGGAAAAATACAAAATTCCACTTTTCAGAAAAATGAAATTAATTTTTCCCGCCTTTGGGTCAACGAGAGCTCCACCAATCGCGTACTTTCCCGCGCTCAACACTGATTGGTCGTTGCACCGAAGGAGCAACATGTGGCGGGAAATCTGCACGGAATTAATGAGGCATTTTTCTATGCCTTTGAATTCGAACCGTGCAACTATCTCTTGAAATGAATTGTTCATAGTGTTCTAACTTTATGTAAAATTTCATGAAATTTCATTACACCATCTCTGGGCCAACTAAAATTGGACCGAGTATAACAGAAAGGAACCAAGCCACATCAGCTATTGCCAAGTTTAACTGGGCAATTAATTTTTTTACGAGAGAACGTTTGTTCGGATTTCTTTGCAAATTTTAAGGAATTTGCTTCGTACCATGGAAAATTTTCGCTGAAATTTACACAAAAATCCGCACAACCGTTTTCATGTAAAAAATTAAATTGCCCAATTAAATTTGGCAATAGCTGATGTGGTTTGGTTCCTTTCTGTTTAACGCGGTCCAATTATTCCTGAACTGCCCAAACTCACAGTCTTAGACAGAAAATTTCATTAAAATCTGCATGGAATTTCACGCGTAAAGCATGAAAAATGAAAATTTTTGGGACACTTGCGTTTTGTGGCTTTCGCTATGTCGCGGCAGTGATAACACGTTGATTAATCCTTCTTGCTGCGAGCTGAGACAGATCCAGCAAGTTGGCAACATTGGATATATACCATTTAAACCTGTGTTATGTATAAGGTAAGTATTCGATTCTAGTCGCAGCACCTTGCACCCCCGAGTATAGATTCATTTCCATATCGACGGTGTAAGTCGGCAATCATGTAACTCGTTTCCGCTGTCTGAAAATTTCCGCCTCTATGTTATTGTTTAAAGGAGAACAAATAGACATTATTCCTTGAAGTTTATGTAGAATTTGCTTCAGGGCCGGATTAAGGGGGTGGCCGCGGCCCATGGCGGCAAATCTATAGGGGGCGGCAAATTTTGCAATTTTTTTAAGTGTAGGTATAAAAAAAATTCGGACTTAGAAAAAAAATTACAAACGAGAAAAGGCGACAAAATCTCTAATTTTCTGAGAGTACAGTGATTTCTAATTTTGTCGTCTTTCAGTGATACAAGAGGCAGCACCTTTAATTAGTCGAGTTAGGAGAGAAACCAAACACGCAATTTGGCCTGGAACGGCGCGACTTACCTAGAGAGAAATGATGACGAGGACTTGAGGTGAAAAGGAGAAGCCCTCGGCGCAGCGATCGGCGTGTAACACATATCAGCGCCTACAAGACTGCACGAATACTTCACGCATTGCATCAAACACGGTGCGGTCATTGCGGACAGCGTAAAACGGATAGCGCCTACAAGAATGTAGGAATACCTCACGCATTGCGGCAAACACAGTGCGATCAGCGGGAGACGCATAGCGCCTACAAGACTGCGTGAATACTTCACGCATTGCGTCAAACACAGTGCGGTCTGCGAGGCGGAAGTTAAAATCATTAATCCACATTTAAGTTTGTTCTTTCATAATTTTTTCGTTCATTTCTTATGAATGGAAGGCCTTGTCCACACAGAGATAGGTTTACGAAACTTAACTTTCGCGCAAAGTTCCGTGAAATTTTGCTAGTAGTGTTGACAGGGCTTTCCCAAAAAATGTGTTCAACACCAGTAAACGCGTCTTATGCACCCATCCCCCGCTGGCACGTTCATTTGATGGTTTTCATTGATGTTTCAAAACGAATGAGAAGGGGGCGGCAAGTATAGGTAAATCCGGCCCTGATTTTCTTCGCACAGAGAAGAAAAACCACGGCAATCTTGGAGAATTGCCGTTGAGTAGTTTTCCGTTAACAAAATAAAATAAAATATGACAGAAAGTCTGCGACATCGCAAACCGAGTTATGTGATTGCCGACTTACACTGTCGATAAGTTTAAATAGAGAGAAAAGTATGTTTCCAACTTGCTGGACTTGTCACTGACAGACTGGCTGCGTGTCTCTTACTCTGCTGAATTCAGTTCCCCTTCAATGAGCTTGATGGCAATTTGAGCGACTTAAGGGCACGAATAGTTGCGCGCAGTAGTTTTGTCACTTTTACTCTATCCCAGCAATGAACACACGATTCTTAGTATCCTCGTTGTGTGTCTTTCATTCTGTTGAGTTCGCCTTCAATAGGATTGACCGCACCCCTCCAAAAAATTGGAGGAGAAATATTCACGATGGAGATGTTGCATGTGTGAGGAATTTGCGATTTGACTATTGCTTCTTAAGTAAAAGTTCGTGAGAAACACGATGGTGTCACTGATTTTCTCTGAAACCAACTCTCAAGCTCAAAAAAGCTCTCAAGTTGAGGCCAAAATGGCGGAGATATCCAACGCTATCCTGAGAGTCCACGCCTACATCAAGACAAACTCTCCATGCAAGATAGGGAGCAAATAAATTAGCAGTGATGCCATGTTCTCAGTTTTAGAGTCCCCAAAAAAAGAGGCAGCCCTGTCAATGTATTTGCTCCCTATCTTTGCATGGAGAGTTTGTCTTGATGTAGAGGTTGACTCTCAGGGTAGCGTGGGGTATCCCCTCCATTTTGACCTCAACAAATACATTGACAGGGCTGCCTCTTTATTTGGGGACTCTAAAGCTGAGAACACGGCATCACTGCTTATTTATTTGCTCTCTATCTTGCATGGAGAGTTTGTCTTGATGTAGAGGTGGACTCTCAGGATAGCGTGGGATATCCCTTCCATTTTGGCCTCAACTTGAGAGCTTTTTTGAGCTTGGGAGTTGATTTCAGAGAAAACCAGTGGCACCATCGTGTTTCTCGCAAACTTTTACTCAAGAATCAATGGTCAAATCGCATATTTCTCACACTTGCAACATCTCCATTTCCCTTAAAATTCGTTGTTTCTCGAAGGAAATTTGGCAACGCCTGACGGCTCATAGGGCGTTTTTCCTTAGCACGGAGGTGTTCCTCCTTCGCACGTTCCGAGTGGCTAATGGGAATCAGAGGACCTGACTAACAAGAGTTTGAGAGGGTGCTCGTAAAAGTGGTTTGACTCCTCAACGGGACGTCGCGAGAGCTTCCAGGTGAGTAACTTCGGCTCGGATGGGATCGTAAAGAGAAGTTTCTTGCCCTCCCGACATGAGGAAGTCAGGAGATTACGCGGAGAGCGAATTCGCACGAGGCAAATAAAAATGAAGGAGAGACAGGAGTTACAGAGGTACGTGCACAATGTGGCGAGAAAGTTTCACCCATGCCGCATTGCGAGCCGTGCCTGCTTACGTGGCACAGTGCAACGAAAGTATTATGAGGTCGCGATCTAATACAATCGAATTGCAATTATAATTGACTGCATTTTGCAATTTGGAACTACAAATTCTGGCTCCTCTGGAAAAGCACGTACGTGCATAGGGAAAGTAATGGCACATGCGTTGTTTTCAAACCGGGCTAGAATTTACAGTTTCAAATTGCAATATTAAATTGGTGGTTTTAAAATTTCCAAGGAAACACCCAGCAGATCCGTAGGAACAGTTTGCCTACAACAACAAAACGGCACAAGTAAAATTTGGAAAAGCTTTGGAAGAGCATAGCGAAACTAGAAAAATTAAGAAATTCTGAAGAGCTTAGTAAAGCTAGAAAAATTTAATATTTATACTGTGAAATTTAAATTTTTGTACATTTTTTGGTCAATGCATGTCAATTTTGAAGAAAGAAATTTAGGCTAGTTTCGTGTTCCGGGACCAGAAATGGAAAATTTCATAAAATATGTAATCGCTGGAATTTTTTCGAAATTTAATGAAATTTTTAGGGATACATTCAGGAGGCCAAGAAATGCCTAGGGGTATCTAGTGATACTCGATTTTGACATTTTTCACTCCAAGCCTAAATCATTCACGCGTCGCAAATATTTTTGTTAGGTTTAGAGGTTAAAAGTTGGGGCTTTTCTCACTATAAACTTCCTCTTGTGCCCCCCCCCCTCCGTGTTTAGCAGCTCAGTAGGAGACACAGATCCAGCAATTTGGCGACACTGCTGGATTCCCTCCATTTAAACATATGTTAAATAATCGAGTCTTGTCGGAGCATCTGGCCCCTCCAAGAATCGATAAATTTCCGTAGGTTTAAACGGAGAAGAATAATATTGCCAATTTGCTGGATCCACCAATGCCCAGTAGAATAGCGTAATACTATAGCGCATCAACGGGAAGACCACGTGAAACGCTTTCAGACTTCCGAAGGTTTAATTTATAATTAAGAAAATAGTAATAAATTTCAAGTTTTATGGAATTATGATTTGGAATGAAATGTCACTTTCCACCACGCACCCACAGACTTATCGCCCACGTAGTAATTCACGCAAACCTCTCCTACAACTCTTGGCCCACAGCAATTAGACCCTCATGCTTTCTGTATGTATGCCTTTTTGCAAAGAAGGAGTTTTGACCTACATGCATCTCACACTACCTGTAAAAGCCGTAGGTGAGCTCGAGTTGAAGGCGATTTTGATTTCTAACTTCAGTTTTCTAACATTCAGTCAAGGCCGAAAGAGCGATGCTAAATTCTATCTCTTGCAACTTACACCTCAATACCACTATAATTTTTTTTTTTTTTTTTTTTTTTTTTTTTTTTTTTTTTTTTTTTT